AATATGTATATTTATTCAAATAAAATTAAATCTTTAAACAATTTTCTTTCAAAACACTAATCCATTTATGGAATGGCCAGCTGATTGTTCATTGTGACGCCCAGAACATGCAGAAAAGCTGTTTTCCTATCACCATTTTCGAGTGAATTCGCTGAATTCAATCAAATCTCGTTAATTCGTAGTGGAAAATGGAAGCCTTTTCTCTCCAATAAGTGGATGCTAGAGAGTTGCATTTATGCCCTACCTATATGGTCATCAAAAGCTTATTTATTGACCAATCAATTTTTTATCTTCACCTCGTAGTTTCCCCAACTGGCTTGATTTGGGTCATGTTCAAAACTAGGAGTCAAATCAATTGGGTCAAAGGTCTGTCACCAGGCTGGGAATCCTCTCCAACCTGTCCTGAAGAAAATAAATCTAGGTGTTTTTGCTACAGTATTGAAAACCTGCAGTAGTGATTAAAATATACAATTTGTGAATGATTATTCCCTAGATGAACTCTTCTCGTTTTTCCTTGCCATTTTTTCAAGTTTCCCCTCTCTTTCATCATCTTTTTTCACAGATCACAATTGTCTTGGCATCATTATGACATACTAATGGGGACAGAATATGCAGTGTTAATGTGTTGCGCAGAACTTTTTCTTTCTTCCTTTCTTTAAAGTTAGTCCAAACCTTTTGCAGGGAAGGATTCACAGGGACAGAGCCCCCGTTAAAGGTAGTGTGCCAGCTTTCTTGGACCGTATGGAGTTAATGGCCCAGATAAGGAGAACCGGATTTTTAGAACTTATCCATACCTTCAAAACTCATGGAAACGTCTTAAATTCTTCAAATTTTGAGTACCCCAGTGCGAAATTCGCCCCGACGGGTTGTCGGTCGTACCCCAACCACATTTCACACCACTATGAACAATAAATGCACACGCTGAAATCGCTATTACCGATAGGCTCATCCAATCAAGTTTCGATAAACCCGTTCATCATCATCTCCTGCGGTTTCGAACACGCCTGTTAGGTGGTGCGGTAGACCGCGCCCAAAGCCAGGGCCCCGGTAACGTGAGCTAGCCGAGTCGGGGCAGCGTGCGCTGACCCAAGCCGGGGCCGCGCGTCCTCCCGGTGTCATGTGATAGCCCGGGGCTGCCCGCGGGGATGCGCTAGACCGCGCCCAAAGCCGCGGCCCCGGCTTGGGTCAGCGCACGCTGCCCCGACTCGGCTACCTCACGTTACCGGGGCCCTGGCTTTGGGCGCGGTGGTGGTGCGTCGGGCCGCGCGCTCTGACTTCGGCCAAGAAAAATGCGTCAGCTGATCATTGTCATTTCTGCCACTTTCATGTGGTGAGATGGGGTCATAACTTTAGAGACGGCTGTTTCATATCAATTATTTTACATAAAATAATATTTCCAACCATAAATTAATGTTCGACAGCCAAATTAAAGAAACAATACCAATACAGGCTTACAGTTTAAATTCGACATTGTGTTGTCTACGATTAGACAGCTGATAACTCATTCCCGTACGTCGTAACTCTATAATGACCTTTGCTTATTGTCACATGTGCGCCGCTTTCGTGATTGTTGCCGACGCCTGTTTGCAGTTCAGCCCACTACAGTTGTTATACATATCGAAAAACCGATAAACTTTTAGGCGAAAAAAGCACTATTCTAGGCCCATTTTTTATTTTTTTGCGATATTAGGTAAAAACAGAAGCTTCTTATCCTAGGAAAAATAAAATGGGAAATCATTCAAAGGTGGCACACTACCTTTAAGCAAAGCTTTTTGCGTTGACCCTGCCCTCTACCCTCAGATCACGCAATTCCGGTTCTATGGCAGAAGTTGGAGTCCCGAAAGCTTAACGTGCGCACATAGCCGCGCACGGCCGGTCCCCTCAGTCCTCACTGACTACGGCAGGCCTGGCTGGCCTGGTTGGTGGCAGGCCTGGCTACGGCCTGCCACCAACCTCAACCATACCAGTCAGGAGGCTCATAACCGTCAAGCGCCCGTCGTGCTTCAAAGTTCAAACACGGATTATTTTAACCGGGAACGCGTGCTCTCACCACGCGGAGTCCAACGCTCTACCGACTGAGCTACGGGACCGGCAAACTTTATACACACAAGGTCAATAAAGCACGTTTGTTGTCGCCCGCAGCGCAGGCAGTATGAGCGGCTGTATTGTGGCCGGGGCAGCGCTTCGCCTGGCCGGGAGGACGGGCCGGTCGGGCCGGCGTGCCCTCTGCTGGACCGCCTCCCGACAATCTGGGGTCAGCGGCGGAGACACGCAGACAGAGCAGCTCACCGCGGAAGGAACCACCGCGACCACTGCCACCAGCACGTTCGCCGAGTCGTTCAAGAAGTTTGAGGGCTTGAACCAGCCAAAAGGCGATGAGACCCGGCGCAGTGAATCGTTCCTGACGCTGCTCCGGAACTCGCCCTTCATAAAGGTACTGACCAGTTGTTAGCTCATCGACACAGTGTTTATGTCTGTACCGACTGCGTCGCAACTCGCATGCGTGACTGAAGCTGTATCTTAATTGTCATTGTCCTTTCAAGTTACTATTTTACTCTCTGCAGTTATTGAGATACTTGAGACCTGTTCCAGCGCCTCCAGTAGAAATTCTTGACTGGAGGCTCTACCAGAGGTTTTACTGGAGACGCTGGAACGCAATCTGGAGATTTCTGGAGATTGGCATCACATATACCAAAAGAATGACGATTGCTCTCTCTTGAAACGCAAAATTTGTTTTCAATTTTATTAAGAAAGATTAAGAAAATTATAGCAATGTAATTTTCTTTACATTCAAGTTGTAAAATAATCAGTCAAATGTCCTTTGTTTACATCACGATTCACTGAACTCTATAATGTGGAATGCGCATCGGCCGCCAGATGGTGTCCAACGGTGCCGCCATGTTGCGCAGACCAGAAAGCGGCCGCCGCCTGTGTTGGGGAATAGGGAATTCGGGACCTCGATTTACGTTTGCGGTCGCTGCATCCGTTACGTTCAAGCTATGTGGCCACGGAACCCGGCATCTTACGCAGAATTGAGTGGAGAATAAGATGAAATCCTAAAAACTTCTCAGATACAAGGAACTAATACGTTAAGCCCTTATAAGTCAATGGGGAAATATGAAAATTGCTATTTTGGCGCCGAGAATGATCTGAAACTATCTCAAGTCAAGCATATTAAATCATGATTTCATGCACTCCTTGCAAGGTTCTATGCTTCATATTTGCATTGTTGCCCTTGCGTGACGTCATTTGTGACGCCACAAGGGTCACAGTTTTTCTTCAATAGCTCCCGATCAAATTGAGCTAGCGAGTCGGGAAAGCTACCAACGGACTCAGGAAGACCTGCCGAATCGAAGGATATGCGACATGACCTCTTTCGACCATCTTCGTGACCTGGCGGTGCTGACCTGACCTTGACCTGAGGTCAACACCCTAAGTTGACCTGACCCGAACAAAAAGTATATCACTCGATGCGCCTGAGCTAGCTGAACACGATGATGCCAAAATCGCGGCTCTACGGCCATTTTTGGCGAAGTTATTTACCAAAAACCGAACCCGTGCCTTAGATCACTTGACCTGACCTCAGAGGTCACCGGTTGACCCGGGACCTTTACAGTGGGTTCCTACCAGTCACTCTGCATTATCCTTTGTCGCAAACGACCAATTTACCGCTTAATTCTAGTTAAATTAGCGGCGCATTAGCGAGGTGAGTTCAATCAACCCCCTCGGCCGGGGCAAATGTAGGTCCGGCGAGTGAATTTGAGGAATTCTGAAGATACGATCGTGTTCCCCACTCAATTCTGCGTAAGATGCCGGGTTCCGTATCTACGTAACTTGAACGTAACGGATGCGGCGGCCGCAAACGTAAATCGAGGTCCCGAATTCCCTATTCCTCAACACAGGCGGCAGCCGTTTCTTGGTCTGCGCAATATGGCCGCCACCGTTAGACACTACGGCCAATAGGGTTCAAGCGGCATTGCTCCCCTGTGGTTTACATTCGTGATTGTCACATGTGCGCCATAATTGTAGACCAGAGCCTCCAGAGAAATTTGGACCTCTCAACTCTCTGGAGGCTACTGGAGGTTTCTGGAGCTTTGGCGAGAGCTTTCTGGAGCTTTCTGGAGGCGCTGGAACGCTCTCTGGAGGATTCTAGAGCTTTCTGGAGGTTTCTGGAGGTTTCTGGAGGCGCTGGAACAGGTCTTGATATTTGACCATCCCTAACCGTGTCTGTTGCCAGATGGGAGACCCGACCGGAAAGGTAGTCGAAGGCGAGGTGTTTCACGTCGTGGGTGACGACCTCTACATCGACTTCGGCGGCAAGTTCCACTGCGTCTGCCCCCGGCCGCCGCGACGCTCAGAGTAAGGATGCTAGGAGCTAGCGCTATCTTTCATTCAAACAGTTTCATAAGAATTTGTGCAGGTAGGCATGAAAACCCTCGGTAAAACCGTATCTTCAACAGTAATTAAAACTATTTGATGAAGCGGGTCGATGTTTGCTTCTAAGACACCCAACCTGTTCCTTTTTTCGTTGATATCTTTTGTTTGGGGCGTGTTATGGCTATTTGTAACCTGCTTTCACCACACACTTGGTAACGGATCGTCAGCGCCCGCAGTGATCCATTCATGTACTTCCAGTGAGCGATCCTCGTGACTTATGACTGCTGATCCATTGACTGACCCCCCCCCCCTCAAAGAACCTGATCCTCGCACCCTCAATGACCATTCCATTCACCCCTAGTGAACCGCCCCACTCCCCCACTAACCAATTCTTCCCCTTCCCTACCCCAGAGAGTACGTGCTGGGAGCGCGCGTGCGCTTGCGTCTGCACCAGCTGGAGCTGTCGTCACTCTTCCTCGGCGCCAAGCGCGACCTCAGCCTGTTGGAAGCCGACGCCACCCTCCTAGGCATCATCTCGTCTCCGTACCGATCCAAGGCCAAGCAAACCACGTAGGCGGGGACCACGCGCAGGTCAGCCCGAACTGGCGTGAAGAGGTGTTCACTAGAGCTGTACAGTGTATTCAACAGTGTATGCATGCCGCGGAAACGAGCGAGCAGGGCGAACGGCGGTCGGTCGCGCCCTGCCCGTAACGCAATACATTCTGTCAAAGTAGTTACCGTGTACAGGGACATATTGGCTCACTCTTCAAACACACATAACGATAAAACAATGCCCTCGGGCGGGAGTGGTATAAATATGCAAATTCAACAAGCTGCTGAGAAAGTCTCAGGGTTTGTAGATACATCGATACCACACTGATCCCACATCCATAAATGTGTAAACTTGGTCATCACTGGAAAGCATACAAGTGCGGAAGCATTCACACTGAGATATGACGCTTGTTAGTGTCACCACTGGGCTTATCTCAACACTACCATAAGTCGTCGCTATTTAGCGAGCAAGTGACAAGGCCGGCTTGGCGGCTGCTCCCGCAAGCTGTCATCGTCACATGCTCTGCGGCAGACCCTTCCCCGCACAGCATGTGTACACGTCACAACGGTCACATCACCGGCTACTCGTCACGGTCACACACGTCACCGCCTGACGTCTGTGAGGTCAGGCGATCAGACGCGCCGTGTTGGTAGCAAACGGTTCACAAACGGCACTTGTCCCAGCACCATCCGCCATCCGGACCGCACGGGGACAGGGGATCACTTGCGCAGAGTTTCACAAACCGAACTCATCTCGGTGTCGCGCGAGTCACCAAGTATACAACGCCTCAGCTCTAGTTTAGGCCACTAGAGGTCCATGCCCAAGACCTAGTTTAGTGTCGGTTTCTGCATTATGTCTCAACACGACACTGTTGGCCATCAGGCGCCTGTATTGGGAGTCCTGTGTATTTCACCGTTCACTGACCACTGGCCTTTAATGCTTGCCTCTCTTCCTATTTCTCCGTCTCTCTTTCCTTGCTCTCTTCCTTTCGGACCACCCTCGGTCCATTCCTAATGCCCGTCCTGTATGCTGGACTTTACTCGCCCCGGCTAAACTACCAAACTGGGTAGTTTCAAGCACTTTCTACCGCTATGACCGTCGACTGCCCTCGGAGGCAGCGGTGGTTGACGGCGCCTTGGTGGGACACTGATCTTCGTCGCTGCCGTCGGAGCAGTGGACGATGCCGTCACACACCTCCGAGGGGCTGAGGCAGCGGCCTAGTCGGCACCTGGGGGGGGGGGGGGGAGGGTTAGGTTAGACTCCTCTGAGGGGCTGAGGCAGCGGCCTAGTGGGCACCTGAGGGGGGAGGGGGAGAGGGTAGGTTAGACTCATCTGAGGGGCTGATTTACCGTCCCAGTCTGCCCACGAGGGAGGGAAATAGACACACCCGTGATAAGATGAGGTATCGGGCCATGAAATTGTTTTATGGTTGGCTGCGCCATTTCAGCCACATACAATGATCTCAGGACTGATCAATGATCATCATAGGACGGCATTTCTTCGGGCAAAATAACGGTCCAGGTGGCACGAAGTCTCATAGTCCTTACTCCTCATAACCCATTAAGTATTCCACTCCCTTTATAGCCCCGTGCCTCTTTCGTCAACCTTCTCCCTTCACACTAACCTGTGACCGCGGCAGCCGTGCCGCGCTGCTGGCGGCAGTGGCCCCTCAATGACGTCATCAATCCAACTGGCGTAGTTGGCCACCTTGGTGTAGACGCCGGGCCGGCCGGCGCGTGCGCAGCCGTACCCGTTGCTGGTGATACCGGTTAGCGTCCACTCGCCGGACGGCTCCTGTGGAGGGGTTAAACAAAGTCAGCGGAGGCCAGTGGAGTCGCCTTAGTTTATTTGACAAAATCAACACCTACCCGTATCTGATATTTTGCATGTTCCATTATTTGGAAACTTTGCCTTGTTTCTACCTCAAATTGTACCGCTCGTCATTCTGTAAACAGGACAATTGCAGCTGACCTGGTTTGACTGTCTTACCGCTGCCATATCTCTGCTTTCCCCCTGTCATGTCCCGCCGTGGTTTCATCTTTCCACCCTCTACTTCTCCATTCCCCATTCACTGACCTGGCACATAAGCGGGCCGCCGCTGTCACCCAGGCAGGCGTCTCGGCCGCCTCGCTCGTAGCCCGCGCAAAACATGTTCTCAGTGATTTTGTATAGGGGCAGGAACACTGTGCGCTTCTTGCACTCCTGGGAGGAGATGAGAGGCACCTGCACCTCCTGCAGGGTGTCCGCTGCACAGTGGAGACACCAACGGTCAGATAATGAACTAATGAGCGACTCCGCTGCATGGTTACGCTACGCATTGACATGATCGACATATGAAATCTGCTTTAAGAACACCGAGCCATCTATGTTCTGTATGTAATAGACCTATCTTTGATGGGTACAATTGTTGGCTGGTATCAATTCACGATCGTTAGAGGATGTTCTGTTCATGCCAATGCACACCACTTTCGCGGCAAATTTTATAGGAGGCTTCATCATTAAATCGCCTGATTGCATCATTTGACATTTTAGTCATCTGTTTTACTCACGGAAAATTTTGCCGGACTCGAAGAGCTGTCCCCATCCGACCACTGTGCAGAGGGCGCCGTTCTGAATCTCGCTCTGGGGCGGCGGCAGGCATGCCGGCCGCACAAAGTCGCTCATCCTGAGAGAGAACGTTCGAACCACGTCACATTGTGGAATAGTTGCGCTCAGGCGTCGAGGCATCGATGAATTGACGTTAGATTGAAACACTAAACAATGACTGCATGTATTATTTTAACTGAAAATGGCTGACAAATCATGCCAAGTAGGTAACTTTCCTAACTTGTTTGCGATTGAATGGTAATCCGCAATGGTCCACCAGTATGAGTGTTGAGCAGTGAGCACTGAGCAGCTCTTACACTCCATAGAAACACTTTGGTCTGTCCCTCCAATTCCTGATATGGGGTCCCAGACCACTTACTGGACGGGCTCTCTCAGTCGGAGCAGCGCGATGTCGTGCACATATCCGACATCCTGGTAGTCCGGGTGCATGATCACGTGAGAGACCTCATGGAGCCGCTCGTAGGGCGAGAGGAGGCTACCGCCGCGACGGTACGCTCCCAGCCGGGCCAGCCAGTAGCGTGTGGTCGACCTGGGGGCAGATGTTACGTCATTCAGTGGCTGAGTTCCGTGTGTTCAGGCGAACGATTGCCGTTTTTCTTTCATCCCTCCCAGGTAGATGAATTTAGAAATGGTATACCCGAAACCATTATGAAGTCATTGACGGTAGACGGTCTGTAAATGGGAACATAATTGGGTCAGAAAATGTAGCTGAATTGAGCTCTAGTTAGAGTCCTTTACCCTCTATACCACCCTGCTCGCCCTCTGTAGCACTCCGCTTACCCTCCGTAGCACTCCCCTCACCCTGTAGCACCCCTCTCACCCTCTGTACCACCCCTCTCACCTGAGGTAGCCCCTTCTCACCCTCTGTAGCACTCCTCTCACTCTGTAGCACCCCTCTCACCATCTTTAGCACCCCCTCTCACCTGAGATAGCAGTGACCGGCGGAGAGCAGCCAGCGGTCTGAGATGAGTGTAGCTCCACACTGGTACTCCCCGTCCCTATACATGGCTGCCTGCCAGGGCCAGGCGCCCGGACTGGAGTTGCCACCACCCACGATCCTGTAGTGTTATAACAGGAGGGTCACTTGTCACAGAACGCGTCACGTTACAGCCGCGGGCGGTTACTTGTCACATAATACGTCACGTTACAGCAGGAGGGTCACATGTCACAGAACTCGTCACGTCATAGAGGACACGTCACATGTCACGTTAGAGGACATCACTTGTCTAGCTAGGTACAGGTTACGGGAGTTATGGCGTTATTCGTGACGTTATTCGTTATATAGTATCATTGGCCAGACATGTCTCTGTTTTACAAAAAAAAAAACTGATTGTTGAAGTTTCCCTTATTTAAAGATGACTTCATTTTGTAAGCAGAGACATGACCTCGTTCTTTTTGATCGCCGTCCTTTACCGTTGATTTTAACTCCCAGTTCTTTCACACCGTGCATCAGCACTGGACAGTAGCGTGGAGTCTGCTGCCAGTAGGTACTGACCTCGCCTGCCGCTGTTTTGCCCGGGGTCGCAGACCGCACTGTAGCTGTCCGCAGGTGACGTGCAGTGCCGTCTCACGGGGGCACATATCCTCAGCGAACACCAGGCTGGCCCTGCGGGTCGGGGGTACGTTGTCAGAGGGCGTCCGGGGACATAAACAGGTTCTAAGCCACTAGAGGATATCGTTAGCTGGTGCTGGTCGTCAAGTGGGAGGCGATGTTGTGCTTGGCAGTCTGAGTGGCACTATAGTTGTTCCTAAACACTGCAGGGCAGTAATCCCAAGAGAGCCTCCAACATACTGTGATCACCGTAACAGGTCAACCTAGTCTGGCAGTTGGCTGGGACATGGCGTCCGTGGTTAATGGCTGCTGAAGAGTGGACTCACTTTTCTGCCTCCGGTAGAACGGTATTCGGTGAAAAGAGCAGCTTGAAGAACGGGTCTTCAGTTGGCTCCACTTGAGACTCGGCCACGTTTGGTCCAACAGACCTCACGGACTTCGCATCTCTGAAACACACATCAATCATGTCAGTCGCAGGCTCATGGATTTGGTGCTGCTGGTGTACAGAAAACATACGAGCACACACTGAATGCTGGTTTCTTGCTGAAGTTTGGTTATATGAAACGCACACGATGATCATGGGCACTGGGCAGTCTCTTTCCGGTGAGACCTTCTTACCCCTCACCAGTTGGTGGGCAGGCGAGACCATTTCAGCCTCATCCTTATTCACAATCAGGCGAGACCCTCCCCCTCACTCACTGGTAGGTAAGCGCCTTGCAGGCATCCCCTCTAACCTCGCTCCCCTTCATACTCACTGGTAGGTAAGCGCCTTGCAGGCATTCCCTGTAGCATTGCTCCCCTTCCTACTCACTGGTAGGTGAGTGCCTTGCAGACAGCCCTGCCGAGCTCTTCCGCTCCCCAGGAGCCGCGGCTCTGCCGCACCGTTCCGTCCAGGCTGTCCACGCAGAGGCGTCCCCAGACGCCGCGCCGTCGCACCACCAGTAACCCTGCCGAGCTATACCGCCCGTCCGCCTCCGCTGCATCCGCCGCTGAGCCGGCTAGTGTCACACAGTGGCGCTCATCAGCGCCATCTGCGCAGTCGAACCGGCCGTCACAGAGGGCGCTGCGGTCGACACACTGCTTGGCCTCCGGACAGATGAACTGGTCGGGCCGACACCACTCTGTAGGATAGCGACAAAGATCGTAAGGAAATAGTTTGCGTGAGCTGTTTGGTGGTCAGTCATAGGGTCTTACATCAGCGGGCCTTGAATTGCCATGTGCTTATTGTTGGGACACGTTGCACTTCCAGCAAGCACATTCAGAACCTGAAGGGCCTTGTAGTTCTAGGACCTAGTTCAGGACCACGAACACGAAGTGGCCAAAGCGTCAACAAACCGAATATTAGCGGGCGTGCTAATGCATAAGGCAGCTGCGACGGAATAGAAAAACTTATCAGACCTAGATTTTGACGATTCGAAAATACAATCCACAAAGTACAAACTCATCCCCTCGCCACCCACCACAGAACTGTTCGTCGCTCGCGTCGTGGCAGTCGAGCACTCCGTCGCAGAGTTTGGCGTGCAGCGCCTGGGCGCGCAGCCGGTCAGCGCACGTGCAGTCACGCTCGTCACTACCGTCAGCGCAGTCGAGCAGGCGATCGCAGCGCGATGTGGCCGGTACACACCCGCCCAGAGTGCGGCAGGCGAAGTCGGTCGGATCTGTGCAGGCTGTGGGGTCGGCGAGGGAAGGAAGGGCAAGGTGGTGAGTTTCCTATTTTGGGCGGAGTGTTCAGTGTTGTGCAATACGCTCGTTTTTTACTAGGCTAATTAAGGCCGAATATAGGCTAATCTTTAATTACTGTTGAACTCAAGGAGGAGAGAATATTCATTGAAATGCAAAAAGAAGCATACATTTGGAAGCTACCTATATTTGGAAGCCTATATTTGTACCTATATTTGGAAGCTACCATTTAAAGGTATTTAGGTCGTAATAATTACAATTAGAAGCGTCTAACATGAATTACTTTGCTCAAATCAACTCATTTCAAATGTCATGTCTCTAAACATCGTACCATAGCGCTGACTACACAAAAGCAAGTGCATATGCTAGAGCTTGCTAGATAGATGACCGTTCCATGACCCCGAAAGTTCGTCTTCAGTCATTTTTCGTCACCAGACATCGGGAAGCAACCGTCACCTCTTCAAACATGTCACTGTTCTGTTGTAGTGATGTCAGCTCCAGAACCATCTTGTCTCCACTTTGAATATGTGGTCGAAGTTCGAGAATATTGTCGATATAGCGTTCCCCTTTTCAGAGTCCATTCAGCATAGTTTGTCCGTTCAGAGGTCGTCAGTCAAAGTCACAAGTGAGACGTTGAAGCGTCATGCTTGGCGATGCGTGTCCGGTATCGGTCATAGCCACTTGATTTCACTTTGGTGCGAACAGTCTGGAAAGAGTAGACCGTTGAAGCAAAGCAAGGTATTAGATGAGGATTAGGGAGAAACCAAGCTTAGCACTAGCAGTGAGCTAGCACTTGTAGTTTTTGGTATATGTGGGGCCGTATTCACGTCGATCATTTTCGTAAGAATTTTCTTACGCACGACCTACTTCTTACGAAAATTTGGTATTCACGTCGACAGCAAAAATATCTTACGAATAAAAGAATTCTCGTAGACAGTTTGCGATTCACGTCGACCTTTTCTTAAGAATTCTCGTAAGAATGTCGTAAGTGCGATTCACGTCGTGTCATCTTAACCCGCGCCCCAGTGGCGGTCTCAGCCAACTTCGCCCTAGTGAGGGGGGGCATATGTTACCACCCACCTCTAACTCAAAAACTAAGAGGGCTAGAAAGACGCGGTAAAAAGCAGTCGATAGCTCTCAATGCGTACGTTTGAAAGTATTTCAGTCATTTTTCACCTTAGAACAATATTGGGGTCACCAGAGGTCATCAAAGGTCAAAATTTGCCAATCGTCATTATATTTTTCAGAAAACATACCGCTATCTCAGGAACTATGGTAGCTAGAAAAACGCATGGAACAGCAATCGATAGCTTTTGAACTCTTCTTTTGAAAAGGTCATTATCAATATTGCCCTCAGGTCAACGGTTTAGCCTCCAGAGGGCAAAAACTCCAAAAATAGCTGTTTTTACGAAAAGTGTTTTTCGACAATAACTTTCGACTACAAAAAGCCACGACATTTATATTGCCAGAATCGTGTTCCTCTCGCCGAGACGCATCGAATGAACTATAAGTTGACCTTGAAAGGTCAACTTGAAAATTTGACCTCAGGTCAAGGTCATGACCTGACCGGAAAAGGTCATGTTGCATATCAGTCGATGCGTCTCAACAAGACAAACACAATGAGACCAACCCCAGCGTTCTATCTCTTTCCAATCGCGAGTTATTGGCAAAAAACTGTTTGTAGCCTCAAATGACCTCGGATGACCTTTCTAGAGGCTATCAGCAAAAATGACACCTTGGTCATCACGAGTGGACTAAGTCATTGTGATTCTGAAATATTTGGACTGTTCCTATGTGTACACACGGATCTAGAGGCATTTTCATTTTTCTCCATTGACTTGTAATGGAAAGGTCACGCCGCTGACCTGACCTTAGGTCACGGATATAAAAAATCCGAGATATACAAATTGTAGGCGCCCATAACAGCATGCAATCCACCAAGTTTGAAACCTTTCTGACAAACACTGCAGACTGGACATGATTGCAAACTTTTTTTTAGGCTTGGTCAGTTAACTTGACCTGGTGACCTGACCTGACATGACCTGGGGTCAAAAATTTCACACATTGTCCAAAATTGATGTACCAAAAGCTACCCCAAGCGTCGCGGCGCTACGCGCCGCGGTTTTTTATTCACACGCAAAAAACGCGACAGGGTGGTAACATATGCCCCCCCCCCACTGGGGCGAAGGTTAAGAATTTCTTAAGTTTTTCGTAAGAACATAATGTTAACGGTATGGTGGACTTACGAATACTCACCGAGCTGTCGTAAACTGAAGCAACGATAAATCAGTGCAGTAGGCTAAGACTAAAATGACGAATTATTTTAAGAATTGACACTAATGGTTGTCTGGACTAAGAATGGCTGTTATTATTGAGCAAAATTATTACCAGCGAGCGAGTGAAGCGAAGTCTTTTCAATAAAACGGGAAAATATCAGTATGAGCGGCCCGGCCCGGCCTGTAATGCTTTTGGAGGCCTATATCTCATCAACCGCTGGACTGATAGACCTGTGGTCTTTTTGTTGGGCTGCCCCATCCCTTCTAACCCGCAATTTACTATCTTGATGCATCTAATTGACCATCGTGGCACGTGCCACGTGAGAAGTCAAGGGCGTCCAAGCTGTTTTGCAGAAGTAGCGCTTTTGAGACTACCAATTTCTCAAAGTGGGCTTATATCTCAGCAACCACTGCATTAGGACGTTTGACTTGCGGTAATTTTTATAGGGTAGCTGTAGCCCTTCTTCTAAACATCGGGTACTCTTGATTCATGTGAGTGACCACCCGCTGCGCGTGCAAAGTACAAACAGGTGTCACGTTTGTTCTTATTACAATAACTCGGCAATTACCGGCCCGATTGTGTTGAAACTTGGCATGTGGGTAGGCACCTACCGGGAAATGCGTTGTCATATGTCACGGTTGAGGTGCTACTGCACGTGCGAACGAGCAGGGGTCGCTTCCAGATGTCGAGAACGCCTGGACCGTTTGCACTCAAACTTGGCACACGGTTATAGGGACCGGTGCGAAGGGTGCCGGGCAAAATCCAGTTTGAACCATTTTACACGTGCGCACGTGCAGGGTGCCGCTTCTACATCTCAAGAACACCTGGGCTGATTGCGCTCAAGTTTGGTCAGCGGCCAAGCCGATCAGCAGCAAAAAGGCTTTCTTTCTAAAAAAAAGGCTTAAAAAAGGCAAGAAAGCCTTCAAAAAGGCTTTCTTGTAACTTTCTATATGTATGGGGGTACAGGTGCTTCCCCATCCTCCAAAAAACGGACAAAATACAGCCCCGTTACACACTATGACAATGTTTTTTGCAAGCGCGAGGGCGGCGACGGATAAATGGCAATTTATGCGCCAACGGCGTATAAAGACTTTTATCGGTCGTCGCCAACTTAAGCGCTTGTCAACCTGCGGCGGCTGAGCCGGCGCGGCGGCGGCGCCGCACCCGCAGTTGACGCCAGGCCCATGTCGTCCCCTATCTCCCTGTGTGTCCAAGTGCACAGATGACGTCACACGAAGGGGCGGAGTCGGGGGCGGAGCCTGGCGCAACGCCCGCCATATTTGAATTTGTTTTATTAGAATGTATTCTATATTTTGGGTTTCAGTCAATTGTTATCGATAGTTTTATGAACGGTTAGCTGTAATATAAGTGATTTATCAAGAAAAAACACATATTCTGCTTGCAATTTCGATTTAAGTACGACCCGCGCCTAGATTCGAACGCACGATCTTTGGATTACGGCGCAAGCATCCTAACCACTACACTACCGCGGCGGCGTGACGGCCGGCGGAAGGGAGGCTGCGGAGGCATGGGGGCTTTTTTACGCATTTTTGGAAAAACTAGTGGGTTTAGTGAAAAACGCTTCTTAGATAATTTGAAGAAAAATGTCTCGGCTTTCCGATGATGCACTTAGTTTTGTGCTAGCTTAAGCAGAGTTTGTTCTACAGCGCTTCAAAAATCGCCCATTTGCATAGGACTTAAACGGGACTTCAAGACTTGCCCCCAGATGACGTCACGAGCTGACGTCACGATCAGGTAGAATCGCCGGACGACCCTACCTGGTATATAGGGCCTTGGTTGACGCAGCGACAGGCGACGCAGAGCCAGCAAAAAAGTCGTTGTTCGCCCGCCGCCACCCCAACGCCTCCTGTGTCTTGTTCGTTTATCTTGCTTTAGGCGGTGCTAATGCTGTGTGCTCTCTGTACTGGGCTGTTCCACCTCTCCAAAAAACGGACAAAATACAGCCCCGTTACACACTATGACAATGTTTTTTGCAAGCGCGAGGGCGGCGACGGATAAATAAGGCACCTCATACAGAAGTTGGGCTTGCCCAGTAGAAGAGGGGCGCCCCCAACACTTAACCCTCGCCCCGTTGGGGGCGAGGGTTAAGTGTGGTTTTTCCTGAATAGCAAGAAAGCGGCGGCGCGCAGCGCCGCCAAATTTTCAGTACCTTCCCGGGCATAAATTTGACACCTTCACACCAAATTTCAAGTCTTAGGTCACCTTAGGTCAGGAGTTATTGAGGTCAAACTGAGGTCATGTTCGAGCAAAAATGAGCAAAAAACATGCAATCTTGAAACGCTCACCAAATCTACAGTTATCAAGCAATTTCAAAGTTCTTTATATGGTCTAGTAGACAAAAAGCGGCGCTACAAAACTGCTATCTCGGATTTTCATATTTTTGGGGTTTTGACCCCAAAAAATTCAAAAAATTGATTTTTTTATAAAAAAAGATGATGAAGATTTAATAATCGAAATGCGTCCATGCACTATTTGTTCCGTGTTTTTCTACTTGTCTCTATCAATTATATACCAGTAGGTATAACGCCTTTTGGGGCGACTAACGGAGCGAGCGAAAGGGTGAGCCTTGCACGTGCGAAATTTCGAAGGGGTACCTCCAACTGACTTGTGCACGGCACCCTACTAACCGGTCTCTAGCGATGGGCCAAATTTGGGCACAATCGGCCCAGCCGTTCTCGAGATCTGGAAGCGGCACCCTGCACGTGCGCACGTGCAAAATGGGTCCTTACTGACTTGTGCACGGCACCCTACTAACCGGTCCCTAACTGTGTACCAAATTTGAGCGCAATCGGTCCAGCCGTTCTCAAGATCTGGAAACGACCCCTGCACGTGCGCACGTGCAGCAGCACCCCAACTCTGGCACACGGATATGCAGTGCCTAGTGGGTGCCTACCTACATGCCAACTTTCAGCGCAATCGGCCAAGTAGTTACCGAGATATTGCAACAATTACAAAACTGACACCTCTTCGTTTTGCACGTGGCACGTGCATAAGGGGTCACCCACATGCATCGGGAATAGTCCAATACTTGGTAGAAGGAATGAAGCTACCCTACAAAAATTATCGCATGTAAATCGGTCAAGTGGTTGCTGAGATATAAGCCTCGCAAAAGCGTCCGCACGGCCGGCCGGCCGGCCGCTCATACTCAGAAATTTCTGTTAATCTAAGGAAAGACTACGCTCGCTTCGCTCGCTCCGTAACAATGGATAGTTGTGTAAATCCCTACAAGGAGGATGCCTAAATCTCAATGATTAAGGCAAAGGTCAATGCACCAAACGCTTCTTACGAATTTCTTAAGATATTCCTACGAATTTTGACGTGAATACCGATTTTTGTAGATATCCAGACATTTCGTAAGAAAAAACTTAAGAAGTGTCGACATGAATACCAAATTATACTTACGAAAGAAAATTGACTTACGAAGTCGACGTGAATACGGCCCGTGGTGTTCGCGGAGTGATAGGGAAAAGACCTGGGCTCATAGCATAAAGTTGGAATGACCATGCGGAAAACTAAGGTGGCGTATCGAACTTCCAAAGGGCAAGAAGTAGCATAAAAACCTGAAGAAAAACGAAACAGCAATGAGATGGAGAAAGCATGCTCTTCTAGACTATTTCACTGGATATGGGGCTTTTAAATGAGGTCATGCTTTTATACTTAACGTCTAAGGAAACTACGTTTACCATATCTGGAAGCCATGCGGATAGTGGTTAGCAGCCACAGACGAGTTAGATGTCAGTGGGAGCGGGCACTCACTGGCGACGGTTTTGTTCCGGAGCAGGGAGACCAGGGTGGGTCGGGACGACGGACGGCCCCCGTCGGTCGGACCAGCCGGCTGGGACGTGCCGACCTCATTGTCAGCCTCCTCCGCCACCTCAGGAGAGCCAGCCTCCACAGAGCTGGCTTCTGCCGAGTCGAGCTCTACCGAGTCGACCTCCAACGAGCTGGCCTCCGTCAATCCCAAAAGGTCCTGCTGCTCTGCTCTGACCTCTGTGGGTTCTGCGGAGGTCGCAGGTGGCGAGCTCATGGGACGTCCAGGCAGCACCACAATAGCTACTTTCTCGGAGCTCGACACTTCAGGCCGGGATGGTGCTGCTGACGGACGCTCGGTAGTAGGAACAGTCTGACTTGTGGCGGTGACCAGAGGTCGACTCGCCCCCACTCCCGCCCAAGGCTTTTCAGCAGAGAGTCGCAGCTCGTTCTGCCCAGGCTTCTGCTGGAAACGGGCGAAGATCTTGTCGAGGATGTCTTTCACGCTCTCGCCCTCGCGGTAGTGGATCACGTGAACTGGGGAGCTGTTGGGCAGTCGCGTCGGCTGCCGCTGGTTGCGGCGGTGGCCGAGTGGCGTTGCCACCGTCGTGCCCTGCAGCGCTGCGAACAGCGGCGCCCTGCCATACTCACCTCCGTCGGCGTTGGTCCGTTCGCCGTGGAACCTCATCAGCTTGTCGGAGAGCTTGTCGCGCGAGCTGCCGCTCGCGGTTGAGTTGTCTCTGTGCAGAGGCGTCCGAGTTGGGACGGCGTGGACCGGGAACCCCTTCAGCTTATGTAACCGGTCGGACAGACTGCCGGAGGAACCCGTCGCCGGCGGGCTGGACACTGGGCCGCTGCCGCCGGCCACCTTCACACGGGTGAAGTTAGCCAGCGCCTGCAGGACAGAGCTGCTCAGGCGGGTGAAGGTGGGCCGGCGCGGCGGCGGACCTCCGTTCTCGACCGCTCCGCTGGGTACCTCGCGGCGCAGCGCGCGCTCGGCACCCCGCCGGTCCGCCTGTGTGCCGTTGATGGAGATGTTGGCCAGCTCGAGCAGCTTGGTGTTGGTACGCTGTGGCTCGCCAGAAGTGCGGCTCTTGTCGGTGCCCAGGAAGGGCGCCAGCAGCTTGCGGCGAGCCTCTTCGTCGTTCAGCAGGAGCTGCAGCTGCTGCTGGTCCATGTTAGCCACCAGCGCCGGGTAGCGGAGCGCGATCAGCCGGAACACGTTGAGCAGCTGCTCTCGGCTCGGTGCGGACACATCGTCTGGTGCACTGGGTCCGTCCGGAGCACCGCTGAGCGCACCGCCCAGCGCCCCCGCCAGCACACCGCCCATTCCCGAGGGTATCGCAGGCCTGGCGGACGGTGGAACCGAAGCGGCGTCTGGTTGGGCAGAGACCACCACAGGCTGGGCGATGTCAGATCCGACAGGACGGTCCGCTGGTCTGCTGTCAGTTTGGTCAGGCTGCTGCTGGAGTTGTGGCGGTCTGTTCGCTCCCGGCACTGGCCTGGGTCGAAGTGGAGGGTACACTCCGGAGAATGATGTCACTGGTGGCTGTTCGGGCCTCGTCGGTCTGAGTTTCTCAGGTTTGATTGGACGACGCTCGTCTCCGACCGGAGCCGCGTTCACCACCACCACCCGCCGTGTGGTGGTGGCTGTCGGTGCTGGCACCGGTCGGCGGGTTGGCGGACGTGTGAAGAAGGCGATTCCGAGTCTGTCCACGCCTCCGGCTGGCTCCAGTAGGTCGAATCCGTCCGTGATCGGTCTGGGTCGAGCTGCGTCACCCGGCGCCTGTTGACTCTCCTCTCTGACCTCAGAGGTGCTGACCTCAGTGTGGTATTCTGTGTTAGCGACGGTGGGTCGCGCTGTTGGTCGAGATGAGGGACGCGGACGGTTGGTAGTTTCGGAGGTGCCAGGGGTCGAACCAGACCGGAAGAAGTCTGAGGACGAAGGGCGAGCGAACGTTGAAATCGGCTGCCTCTGCGGTGCAGGGTCAACGTCATCCTCCCTGGGGAGAATCCGCAGAGTCTGCTGTATGGATACGCTTTCTGGGATCGGAATGGATGCGTATGGGGGTCGAGCCGCAACCGAGCCTGCTCCTGTCGACTGCTGCTGCTGCGTCTGCTGCTGCTGCTGCTGCTGTTGTTGTTGCTGTTGCTGCTGCGTTTGCTGTTGTTGCTGTGTATCCTCTACAAACGGCCCACGGCTGGTGGTCACCTCAGGAGCCGGTGTGCTTCCTACGTCTGTCTCGACGCCGCTTGGCTCGTTTCCCTGTCCGGTCCGGTCTGTTACGGGTCGCGGTCGGACGGTCACCGCCGGTGGATAATCCCCACCCCTCCGAACGCCGCCTCCGTCCGTAAACAGGCTTCCGGGCCGCCCGGGCTGGCCACCAGCCTGCACGAATGCCGGGATGATGGGGTTCCACGGACTGTAGTCGTAGACAGGGGCTTCCTCCTGGCTGTTCGTGGCGGGCGCTGGTGTCTGCAGCTGGGGCCAGTTGCCCTGCTGGCTGCCCGAGGCCGGAGCCGAAGCCGAAACCGGAGATCCCAGCTGAGGCCAGGCGGGAGCCGGAGCCGGAGCCGGAGCCGGAGCCGCAGTCGGAGCCGCAGTCGGGGCAGGAGCCAGACCACCGAAGTACGCCGTGCCGACCTGGACATCCGCGAACTCCGGATAGCCCGCGGGCTGGACGGTCTCGATGTCCGTCTGGGAGTTGGCAGGCGCAGAGGGATCGACGTACCCGACCCTGTCGACGCCCTGTGCCACGCCGGCTGAGAGGAACGGGGCCAATTCGGTGGCCACTTCCAGCGGGATGGGCTCAGTCGGACCGAACGCACTGGGTGGGTCGATCGCTTCCGACGAGACGGGTAGCTCGCCAGCGTCGGAAGGCTCGACAGAAGCCTCAGTCGCAACGTCGTAGTAGTCGTCATAATAGTAGTTGTCATCAGCATCGCTGTAAAATGCAGTCTCTCCTGCAGCCACATTGGAGTTCGGTTGGCCCTTATCTTGCTGGAGGTCAGCCGGAGTACGGTCACCCAGGGATGGATCAATGGTGGAACCGCCACTTAGTGAATCGTCTTCTGTGGTTCGGTGTCCGGGAGCGTGGATGTCCGTGACATGGTCGCTCGGTGTGAGGTCCTCAGGAGGATCGTTCACCGGAGGGCTTTGGGTGTCGGTTGAATCGGAGACTGGCGCCGGCGGAGGAGAAGTGCTGTCTTCATGACGAGTGTCGGCCTCAGACACCTCAGTGCTTCCCTCATTTGGGCTCTTAGGCGACGTCTCCGCTGCTGGCACGTCTTCCAGCCTCTGTGTCTGATCAGTGATGGCACTGGCTGGTTCTGTGATGTTACTGTCCGGCTGGTTGCCTTCAGCACTCGGGTTGCTGATGGTGCTTGGTTCCGTACTGCCAGTTTCCGCAGACATCTTTGACTTCTCGTCTCCTTCAGCGCTGTTCGTCCTCTGGATAGGTTCCCCGGAACCTTGCTCTTCTTTGTGGTCGTCAGAGGAACTCGTCTGTTCTTTGACCACCTCCTCTTCCGGTATCTGTGCTGGATCTCTGTCATTTTCGTTTTCCTCCTTCGTTGTCATCTTCCCATCAGCTACCTTTTCCGTGGACGGCTGTGCCCTGGCCGGCTCAACCGCTGAGTCTGGGACGGACGGCGCGTTCCCCGAGTCGCTGGCAGAGTCTGGTTGTTCAGGAGACGCCGAGGCCGGAGAGGGGGACATCTCGTCCTGCTCCTGGTCCACTGCCTTGGTAGGTCCGGTCTCCTGGCGTCGGCTGCCGCCACCTCCGCGTGAGATGAAGGCGGCGTTCGAGGCTCCGTCCTTCTGCTCCCCTGTGGACAGAGGTTACAGCAGGGTTAGAGCGGGGTCAAAGGTCATCTGGGATAGGTTACGACGCGGGGGGGGGGGGCAAGACCGATTTTTTTTTAGCATTAAACATCTTCCGAAATGGACAATATGTCATTATTGTATAAACTCGGAGGAGTATCGTTTTCAATAGCTTTCCGGTGTATGACTAATGTAATTTAGCTTTAATATCTAACCAAGGCTTTTTTTCTGCTTTCACTGCTTATACCGCCCAAGCGTGCCATATTAATGGCCTTCCCTACGACAAAAGGACAATAGTAATAGAGCTGTTACCTTGAAGTTCAGTCTCATTAGCGCCATGTCAAGAAGCTCAGACAAAATGTGTTTCGCAAGGCTGACCACGTTTATAAAAAGTGTCACCAACCCATGACGGAGTCGTCACGAACTGTCGCGAGTGGTTACGCCTGCCTAGTTACGTTATGAGCCAGCCGGAAGCAGCCCTAAAGCTGGGTGATTCTGTATGCCTCGCCACGTCTTGCGCTTCGTTGAACTTATATCGTGTCGCTATCAGACTGAAGTGGGCACATCTTTCGGTGAGTCAGCTCTATTGATAATTCTATACGGCCGAACTTTAGAAAAATAAGGTGTAGTGGCAGTTGATCACTCAACGGGGCAGATAAGCCACGAAGCGAGCAGCCTATTTCGTGCCGGTGCTTCGTTTCACAAATCATGTTGATAAACTACATGCTTCCTTTGTTACCGTGATAACACATTTAACGTCCCACATTCTCCTTTACCTAATTGGTCGAAATTATTCAAAGCCATCTGTGTATTCCAACATAACAGGTGCTACCAAGAGCCAACAAGAAGTTGACACACCAACATCATTGTCAGCTCTAACGTCAATATGATGACTAGTGGACTGAAACACTCACGTTTGATCTCGATGCTGTCGATGTCGACGGAAATGCTGCGGAAGGCCCGGGGCTCCAGCGACATGACCTCTTGGGTCACCACGTCCCGCACCGCCTCCTCCGTGTTCAGCACCGTCCTGGGGTCAAAGGTCAAGGGGTCAAGGTCATGTCAGAGGTCAGCAGGTAAAGGTCACGTTCCATACGACCAGCGACGGTCATATTCAGAACCAACATAAGGTCAAATATCAACTGGCCAAGGCTGTCACGTTACGCATGGCCTTTTTCGTGTTCGACGCGGTGCTGAGTTTATGTGGCTAGTATCACGCAAAGTGACAGGCATTGTTTGGTACAGAACATGTTTCTGGTTTCTGGTTTTCTGGAGTCGCTTCTGTTGAATTTCATTCTCCTTCCGTTCATTGTCTACTCACGTGGGTATCCGCCTCCGGTCCAGGTGCACCCTGAAGAAGACCGTGAGGGAGTCGTTGCCGAACCGCTCCACGGACGCTCGTCGGAAAGCGTCCGACAGGTAGCTGTACCCGTACAGCGTCTCAATCTGACGGAAACAACGTCATGAAGTTATTGAACTCTCGGGCACGCGCTTTGCAAACTTATAACCAAACCGCTTACGCGAACTCCCACAATGTGCGAAAGTAAGAACGAATGGTCGCAGTGGTTTTGTCTGGGTGAAAGCCGAGCATCAATGTCAGGACGTCTGTAGTAGGTGATTTGAAGGGCCAAGACTTGGAAACACTGGCATGCGAGACTGAGGAACATCGAGTGTTAGCGGTTCGAGTGTCTTTTAGACTCATTTACACTAACCACTTAACTGCGACCCCGACCGCATTTTGTGGCGGGCTCGCATTGGAACCACAGGGGAAATGACATTCTTCGCCTGTTTCTAATCGGAACATGGCCTTTCACTCCACTACCGCATTACTCATTCGTGCGTAAAAACCGGAGCTCCAGGGACCATGAAACAGGCCACGCTGCTGCGTCACCGTCTGTGTGTGAAGACGTCGCTCCACGCTAGATCACTTCCGTCCTCTAACTAATTACTGTAGAGCAAATGGGGTCGACGGCCGCCACACCTGGATTTCCCCGTCCTTTGGAGTTCCCTCCCACCGATACCTCGCCCTTCGGGGCGGAATATTAACCCAGGTCAGTATTCCGGTATTACCTACACAACAAAGCGATGACGGTCTCCGCGGGCGGGGTGACCCATCCCGTCCAAACTTCCCAGCCCCGACGACCTGTCAGAGCCGTGGACAAAGCCCACACTGTTGTTGGTTTTGCCGCGCCGCGGCGGCCGCGCGGTAGCCCGGTGCCGGATCCGGCCAGTTTTGCACGCGGTTGACCCCGTTTTGGGGCCGCGCGGTGGTGTAGGCAGCATGCGGCGCGGCGCCTGGCCTGGATGGCAGTCCTGAGCTGTCCGGGATGACCCCAGAGACGTGGGAGGAAGAACCGTAGCGAAAATGGGCTGGGACTGAAAATACTTCTTCTCGGACTGCAGGTAACTGCTCTCAGTCAAGACCCAAGACATGTAATTGATGACAATCTTTTGAACGTGAACTTATGAATCAAACTGTTCACCGTGATCTTATGCCTAATGAGAATGGTTGTTAAACTGAACAAGCCATCCGATGCGTAGTAATAATTAAATTGGACGAACTTCGCACTGACATCGCCGTTTTTCTGTGTCATTTGAGCTCCCGATCATTTTGCATCTCCCTGACCCGCTTCCTGCATCTTTCCTCCTCTCCCCGCTTGGAAATGGCACTGCCCGTTACACCGCGCCGTCTGCGAGCCGCACACAGTCTGTCCGCCGAGAAAAAAACCGCTGACCCACTATGCAGAGAGCCCGTCGAAGCACCGCCGCGGCCGCCGCCGGGTCATCCAGCAGCTGAGCTGAATCAGTGATGACCAACTGAGAGACTGTATGGCGGAGCTTATCCGGGTGGGGTGAGGGGAGACGGGGTAGTGAACTTGACTGGGGTAAGAGGCCAGACGAGTGGAGATAATTCTCGGGTAGGCACAAGGAATGAACGCGGTCAAAGAGACCGCGTGGGGGATGCATTAGCATCGGAAGATGGTTCTTATGCTATTTTTGTTTTCTGTTATGGTGATTTTTTGTTCACCTGCATTGATGTCTAATATTAATATTTTAATGCGAACGATAATTATTTATCATAAACAATGGAATGAGACACTTTGTTGTGTAGTACGTCGTTCGTGTTGTAGAATGCTCTATCGGCAGACTCACCATTTTCTGGTAGCGTTCGGCCTTGTCCTGGAAGTCTACAGAGCTGGTGTCCGCCAGGCTCGGGTGGAAAAAGTCACCTCGCGCCACGCGGAACTTGCCGAGATATTGCATTTCATCTGACGGGCACACACAAGCAAATGAAAATATAAGTGGTACAAATCAACTTATTTTTAAATGGCACCTACCCGACTTATTTTCACCATCTTTTGCTACACAATAAAGAAATCAATAGACTCAATATGGCCTCTTGCATCTTTATAATTACTTACATTTTCTCTTTATAAACGGATAAGTGCTCTGGTCATTTTAAGCAGCTTCTGCCTATTGCAACAAGGCACCGGTGCTCACACGAGCACGTCTGGCACGCACAGATTGACTCACATTTCATGGCCTCGCTGTCATCTGTCGTCATCACTGCAAATGGAAAACAATTTTTCAGTAATCATCATGATACGTCAAAATGAAATCATCGGCGAGTTTACTTGTGCATCAACAGATTGGTATTCCTTCAGAGAATGATATCGTGAGGCGTTTGTCATGACGCGATTTCTCTAGCTTTCTAACGGTTCGCTGATTTTTAACGGTCTTGGATTGAAACATCAGTTACGAATGTTCCATATTCAGTCAAGTAGTTGCATATGTATGTTCAAATTATATGTTTAGGATCGCTCGAAAATGGCTGATGGAAATCGAGGAACAAAGCGGTTTCAGTGTCTCAGTAAGTAAGTGCCCCGGTGAGACGGCCAGCGTCTGAACGTTGCCCAATACCTCCGAGGTAGGCGGCGATGGCGACGATGCCGATGACGGCGATGATGACGGTGACGATGGAGACGCTGAGGCAGACGCTGCAGAACGAGCGCCGGAAGTACTTCCGGTGGCCCCGGAAGTACAGCTGAAATCACACCGGGGGATGACATTAATGAATAATGAGCGCTGTAAAGAGGAGAGTGCCATCTCTCGTCCCTTTTCGGTAGAGACGACATCGTAATGAGCCCGAGTAAAGTCGAATATCGACCGTCAACCGAAAGCTGAGCGGCACCGGAACACATCCTATGTGTTTGCATTCCCATTAATTTGATTCCAACCAAGGCTCCTTTTGTGTGTTTTGTATCACATCCGCGTCACAGAACGCAGGATAGATTCCTAACAAATGCCCCGTCACCGTGAACCAGCAGCGAATATTCTTCACCGCAAGCGATCGTCTACCATCGAACAAACAGCGCCGAAGTACGCATCTATTTTCCATACGGCGAGGTGCGCCCGCCTCGTATGCACAGACACGGCGCACGCCGATCTCAACAACACGGGTGCAAACAACACCCTCCCAGCTTTCCAGGCTCCCAGCCAACATTGACAAATCCGCCGACCCGGCTGTAAACTGAGCGGGCGCGCACGCTCGTCGCTCGCACAACCCATCTATCGTGTATTCCCTCGCTTTGCTACGACTCATCGCTTACTACGCTAGTCACAAATGTGACGCAGGGACAAGACCAGTGCTGCTCACAGAATGTTTATGAGAGGTTCAAGTCGCCGACACAAGCCGCCTTCCATCGCGCCACGGCGCCGGTCTAGCTCTGCATTCCTTACCGAATATCTCGGACGCCTGTCAATGCTACCGCCCAAGATGTCTCTCTTCAGTCCTCAAGCCACCCTCCTCAGAGACATCGATCGTATATTCCGCATAGTCAGCGTTTTATCTCTGCCCTGTTTCGGCTTTCAAAACCTAGACTATATCTCAGGATGGGATCGTGAACTCCGCCATAGTGCCCCTCGGCCCTTGGACCGTTTTTGCAGTTACTTTTACCCTTTTACGGCGTATGGATCCTCCTAACCCTCTCTGGCCGCAAATCTCACCTCAAACTCGTATAATTTTTCTGGTGTGATGTGGCTCCACTTATCTGTTTTCTCGGTAAATATCACCCCTGATGTTCACGATGTGAGATTCTTCTCTCGATAGAGCTCACCTTCTGTGTGTCCCCGAAGTGGTGTGGCCCTCCGTTTCTTGCAGTAAAGCTCACATGTGCAGTGCAGAGCACGGGTGTTTTGTATTGTATTGTGGGTGTTTTCTTTCGGTAAAGCTCACCTCCTGTGATGTTCCCGACGTTGAGTCGGCCCATGAGTACGGGCCGATGCCGCTCAGAGGCGGCGGGTTCACGTAGTGCACGTACTCCGGCTGGGAGCCGTACGAGAGGCTGTCTCCGCTGACCTGGGGACAGAGGGAGACGGAGGTCAGATGAAGGCCTGAGAGGGAGACAGAGGTCAGATGGTGACGTGGGTGAAAGACAGAGGTCACTGATGCACGCGGAGGTCATACGGTGACCGATGAGAGAGCCAGATTGTGGTGTGCGAGGAAGCGGTCAGATCTTTCAGGGAGACAAACGTGAAACGCTGACCTGGGAGGGATACGACTTGAAAATCAAAAGAGGAATTCCCATGCTTTTCTTCCATGATGACCTCGCCCATTTCCTTAGCCATTCTTACTGCTTTTCACGGTTAAATAGTTCCATGTAACATGTTTCTCACGAACAGAGAGACCACCGCAGAAACTGATGTGAACCAGCTACATCCAATTGTCTTTCAGTTTCCGTTCCCCATGTCGAAGTGGCTAACGCTGCCTTCAGACAACAGACCCGCGCCAGGTGCTGTCGACGTCTGTCTCACGACTCGCTATCTCGTTTCCCACGCCGATCTCAACGGTTCCTCAGACATGTCAGCCGCAAATCCATCCCGGTCCAGCCGTTTGTAGTCTCAGCGATACCAACTCTATCGGCCGGTTATCTGAGCAGTGAGATAGAGATTGAGATACCTCGAGGCTTGGACGCAAGCTGGATTGAGATATCTCGGAAGTTGAATTCTGGCTCGGGAGTCTCTACGAACACCGAAAAAAAAAACATTCGCGACGACCGTTGGAATACTAATTCCATCTCATTTTTTTCATATGACTTATCAGTGCCGATACCGTTCAGCCCCTTAGTCTAAGGGACGGAAGAGACCGAGGGCGGACGAGTGATTGTCAGATTACTGCAGCACGCATGATGTTAATCATCAGTACCTATTTTCTTCTACTCTGTATCTGAACACTAGTACATACAGGGCATATTTTAAGGCACTTACTGCGTCCCATTTTGGGACGCAGCCCCCTCGCCTTGGGACGTAGCCCCTGCTGATTTGACCCACTGCGTCCCTGCCCTGTGCCCTGTCCGGTTCCCTGACCTGTGTCCTATTTGGGCGCAAAATGACCTTGTAGTCGGCGCGCCCTTAAGCCCCAATAAACAAACAAATGACCTGTGTCCTGCTGTGTGCCCTTCCCTCTAAAATGTCCTGTGCCATGTCCTGTAACCTGCTGTGCCATACTTTCTGTCCTCCTCAGTGCCCTTCTCTGTTCCTTGCCTTGTGCCCTTAGTCGAAGGACGTGCCCTCTGCTCAACTTTGGGACGCAGTAAAAATTTGTTAAAATATGCCCTGAGTACATATATTTCACCGTTAGAACTGTCCAGGAAGATTATCAGTATTTCGCTCCTTACTCCCACATTCCTATAGTTCTACCCTCAGCTCCACGGTGTATCGCAGAGGCCGCTGGCGAACGCTCCAACAGCTGTTTCGTCTGTTCTGACCATCTGGCGTACCGCCTCGGGGCAAATCACTGGTCACTGACTCCTATTCGGCGCTGGCGGCGGCTGCGGAGGCGGCTGTGGCAGCTGCGGAGGCGGCGGCGGTGGTGGTGGGTGTCGTGTGTTTCGTGATCGCACGTCCGCCGGTTTTTACACGTCCCACGCGCCGGCCGCCGTGACTTAGAGCCAGACTAGCCGACAGTCGTGATGGGGATGGATTCGGAGAGGTGGTTTGGACACGGAGGATGAAGACATGATTCGCTTCTTTGACGTGCTTTTTCGCACTGTGATGTTTTGTTTGTAAATAAGTGTCATCAGATCCACATTCATGACCGATTATATGACTTTCTCGCCACTTCAGCTCTGATGATAGCCTCATCGATGATTGGGAATGCAGCTAGAAAAGGCAAATCATTTTCATCGACAGATCCCTTTGGTTGTGGATCTGTGGCACACAATCCAACCACACCGCACTCCACCCCTGAACTGACCTCACTCCGTCCGACTATAGGATGCGGCTGACCCTTGACACCTATCCGCTGCTATCATCACGTTCGTTCTCCTCCCCTCACGAGCTCCAACCAACAATAGTAGCTCGCGATCCGTTCAATAGTAGCTCGTCGGCCCGTCCAATCATACTCCAATGGCCCACCCAGGGTGGCTGTAGTCTGTCAGACCGTCGCGTCGGACCGCACCTGCAGCGTTTGGGAACTGTGAACGATGGGAGGCCAGGTCCAATTGTTGAGGCTTGTGTGGTATTCTGTTGCATAATGTGGTGGCCTGGGGGTTTTGACCGTGGCACAGTGGGATTTGGAAGTTAATTGCCGTGGGGATTCAGGTAGTCACTTGTGGCTGGAAACGTGTTTCGGCAGTTCTGAATGTCATATAAGGTAACGCATTTAGAACAGTGCGTTTGGTTGAGGATGTCGAGGAAGAAAGTGTCCATGAGCAGATAGGCTCCACTGGAGTTAAGAAGTGCTATTATAAATTGCTATGGACCTTGTAAAATTATGGATATACAGGGTGTCTCAAAAAAGTGTCACGGTTTTGAACATCTCCCGTTTCGTAACCATAAGGCCTACATCATTCAAATTTTCCAGATTTAGTGGCAATGTTTTGGCATTTTATGTGGTAAAATTACGAGTTCCTAGGCAGAATGGTTTTTACACTAGAACAAAAAATAAATAAAAAGCTCAATTGTCGTGCTGTAGGAGATGGTACGTCACGGCCTGCCGTCGATCCTGAAGAGTCTGGGCCCCTTTCGCCTGATGAATCCAGAAACAAGCTCATCAATATATTTTTGAAACCTTTATAGGTAAGAACACCGTGTACAACTGCCATCTGGAGCACAGCAGCAAGCTGAAACACAGCCACAAACATGGGCAACGATCAACACTGATTGATTTTCAGACGACGCGAGTTTCCATGCTTCGACAGTCGACGGCATCTTTGATGGCAAAATCCTCTACTCGGTTTTGTTCCGAAACACATAAAGAGAAGAAAGGATAGCTGATGGACAGTTTTAAAGTTCCTACTCAAACATGCAGAACTTCTGGGTGTGCGCAATGTACGGTGTGTCACAAGTCCTTTGCATGGTGTCAGCGACTGCAGCTTTTGACGGAAGAGTCTGGCATGGCAACCGCGCTGTCCTGAGACTAATGGGTGAATGCGATTCCATTGTCTGTTTTGCATGGCGTTTTTTGGTTTCTTATAGTTGTAGATAATTACTGACGAGCACGTTGCTGGGTGCAACAAGCAAAAGCCGAGGTCTTACCGAAATCGTCGGCAGACAGTGACGTAAGTACCATCTCCTATAGCACCCAAAATTGAGATTTTTTTATTTTTTGTTCCGGTGCAAAAACCATTTTGCCTAAGAACTTGAAATTCTGCCACACAAAATGTCATACTATTGCCACTAATTCAGGAAAATTTGAACGATGTAGGTCATGTAGTTAGGAAATGGGAGATGCTCAAAACCGTGACACTTTTTTTGAGACACCCTGTAAACCATAATTTTACAATGACAATGTGTCAAGGTGCACTACCCAATGCGTTACTGGGAGGCCATCCGTCCTGTAAACCATAATTTTACAATGACAATGTGTCAAGGTGCACTACCCAATGCGTTACTGGGAGGCCATCCGTCCAGAAGCCGCTAACGCACCGTAACGATTACCTACCAATTACCATATAGGCATTGTGTTTGAGACAATCGTCTAGCCCTGAGATGTGCGACCCGTGGATGCCCGTGACCGCACAGCGCTGCCCGTGGGGCAGAACCCGTGACTAATTAAAACGGATATAACCCTCACGAGTCGCCTCCCGGCACTTCGCCGAAGGTAGAATGAGCTCGAACCGCAAATTACCAACAGCTTGGTTGCTGTAAAATATCATTGTTGCTGTTATTTGGGTCGGCTGCTGTTTGTTGACCGTGGTAGAGCAGCGCCTCTATGCAGGCATGCATATGGGGGACAAACGGTGGGAGCAGCCTTGATTCCTCTCTCAGGCGATAACTGAGGTGGACAGCGGTCATCGTGCACACGGTCTTTGTCGCATGCCTTGCACAGCATCGAGCTCCAAACTGGTGTGACTTCTCTAAAATCACGGAGGACGGCTATGTGGCGCTCCCGAATATCCCTCTACATTGCTGAATAAGGTGACGAACGTACTCGATGGCTTTTCGGTGGGTAGCTGACAGACGTAAGTACGTACGTTCATGTTTGACGGACGAAATGACTGAGATGGTGTGACGGGCTGGACAGTGTGACGGATAATGTGATGAACGGCGTGATGAATTGTGTGACGGATTGTGTGACGGACAGTCCAGCCACCGACCGTCCAGTACCGTTTCTCTAAGGCTGAGTGCTTTCGGGATGGTTCGGTGACCCTCCCATTATGTCGATCCTCCCTCCTCGAGGTTATGGTCTGGCTCACTGGAACGTCCGGAGCGGTTTGGTGGTGGCTGATCGTGTCTAATGAGTTTCCTTCTTCCGGTCTCTTGCTGGTTCCAGGAAATTAGAGCTATCATCCTAGGATCTCTCTCTCTCTCTCTCTCTCTCTCTCTCTCTCTCTCTCTCTCTCTCTCTCTCTCTCTCTCTCTCTCTCTCTCTCTCTCTCTCTCTCTCTCTCTCTCCCTTCCTTCCGTCTCCCTCTCCCTCTCCCTCTCCCTCTCCCTTTCCTTCTCCCTCTCCTTCCCCCTCTCCCTCTCCCTCTCTCTCTCCCTCTCCCCCTCTCTCTCCCTCTCTCTTTCTCTCTCTCTCTCTCCTTCTCTCTCCCTCTCTCTCCCTCTCTCTCTCCCTCTCTCTCTCTCTCTCTCTCTCTCTCTCTCTCTCTCTCTCTCTCTCTCTCTCTTCACATCCCAATCAAACGGTCCATTAGACAATTTACCTCACGCTCCATCGTATCCAGGACCACTACAGTCAACACCATCATTCCGGCTACACTCGCGATCCGCGCAATCCACACGATCCATGAGATCCATCGCGCGATCCTCCGGCGCACATCCGGTCTCTGAGACAGCTCGTTTCCGGTCCGAAGCTTCGGTCTGGCAGCGGCGGCGGCGGTGGCTGTGCGACCGAAACGTTGACCGGTGCCAACGACCGCGCGGTGCGCTCGAGCGAAGCGGAGAGGAGCGGCTGGATAGCCCCGGGCGACGGCCGGCTGGCCTGCCGCAGCCGCCGGCACGGTACAGTGTGGACAGGCTACGACGGCATGGCAGGGGACTCTGAGATCAGCAGCATGGCAGGGAATTGATATCAGTACCACAGCATGGACTGATACCGCTGTTATCGTCCAGATTGGCGCTAATTGCTTTTACTCATTACTTTATTCACACCAAATTCGGCAGCTGTATTTGTTTGGATCTACAGGGTGTATCAGAATTATCCGGACACTTTGTTTTCCCCTCTGATTTGGAAAAAAAAAGAAGATTGCATTTTCAGTTTATTTTCCGATGTAGCCGCCCTTCATAGCGATACAGTCACGCATACGCTGGGGCATCCCTGCCACCAGGTTCTCCAGCACATCGGGCTTGATTCGGCCCCACGCCTTTTTGAGCTGCTCTGCCAGCTCGCCGGCGCTGGTAGCCGGTGTCATCTTGTCGACCTCTTGCTGAACGATGGCCCAGAGGTTTTCGATCGGGTTGAGATCGGGGCTGTTACCGGGCCATACGCCACGCTCCCAGAAGTCGGACAGGTGCTGGCGACACCACTGCTGTGTTTTCTGGGCCGTGTGCGGTGGAGCGCCGTCCTGCATGAAGATGGCCCGGCTTGTGTCCGTCATCAGAGAGGCTTCAGAACGCCGCCTGTTCCAGCCGTTCGGTGGATGGCGTCCAGACAATCCTTGGCGAGGATGTTCTCTCGGTAATACTCTCCGTTGATGACAACATTTGGGGGCACCACGTGCAGCTGGGAGAGCGCACGGTGGGACATTATACCCCAGACATGCACCTTCGCAGAGTGCTTGACGGTGGGGACGGTCTGCACGTCTGAGCTGCTGGCCACCCACACGCGGTCGTTTTGTCGGTTTGGCGGGTGGTACAGCTCGTACGGCGACTCGTCCGACCACAGGACCCGCTGCCAGTCTTCCACTGACCAGTTTTTTCGCTCCCGTGCGAACTTCAGACGGTCAGCACGCTGTTTTTCAGTCAGCTTTGGCGATTTTTTTCAGCTTCAGCGGCCTCATCCCTAGATTTTCGCGGAGATAGCGGTGAACTGTTGCAGGGGATACCTTGTAGCCTGCATTGGTGAGGCGTCTCGGGAGTTTTCGGGTCGATTGATGCCGTTTACCAGTTGCCATCTTGATCACTCTCTTCACCCCCGGATGGAGCGTGCTCTTGCGACCACGACCGGGCTGACTGGCGAGCCCCTGGTCCAGCTTCTCTCTCTTTAAGCAGAGGTAAAGCTGGCTTCGGCTGATGCTGAGTTGCCTGCAGCCCATCTTGGGCCTCATCCCTCCATGCACCATCCCCACAGCTTTGCCACGAAACGAGGTGCTGTATAGTTTTTCGCCATACCCCTCTGACGCTCAGATACACCAGCGAACTGTTCTGTGACCCGACCTCTACTGACCGCCCGGGTCAAGATCAGCGGCGAATGGCAGACGGGTGGGGCGCACGATGGTCTCAGGCTGGTATTTACCCAACATTTAAATTCATACAGCTCCATGACGGACAGAGAGAGCAGAAATGCGAGAAAACAAAGTGTCCGGATATTTCTGAGACACCCTGTACACTTCAGGATCTTATGACTGTTGGCTCACAGCTCATCAAAATACTGTTAATAGATTTTGTTTTCCCCGAAAACTACTTCATTCATGCGATTTATATTTGTGTATCAAATAAGGCATGTCAAAATACACGGGTAGAATAATGCGCACCAATGCGTCGGAAAAGGAAGGTTCTGTCCTCCCAGCAATCGTCTTCAACTGCATTCCGTTACCAAAGGCACACACTTGTCTTTCTGGTGAGCAGTCATAGTTATACCACTGTAAACACGGTCGTATTTCCTGCATGCGACATGTCGTAAAATTACACGGCCGGCTGCACTAATGCGACTGGTTTCGGCTCGTTGGGTCAGCTAGGAGGGCGAGGTCACCTGTGTCGGTCATGGGCACGCCTGGCGTGCGACGGGGGGTGAAGGAGTGCGCTAATATCTGACTTTTGCTAGCTGTTTTGGTCGGCTGGCTTACCACATACAACAGGTGTGGGGTTGTCTGGATGAATGTGTTGAATTGTGGTTTGGGATGGCTCCGCAAGTGAATTATTGGATGTGTTTTCAGGGTTAGTTCACTGAAGTATGACACAAATTACTTTTATCTGTGCCGCATCCTTCCGTATTGAGCCAGGAAACTATGTTTTTATTATACCATGCTTTTTAGGCTTTTTACTTGTTATTTCTTTTATGCCGATAAATATGAAGAACCACCTAAATACCTAACGGTTGAGGGTGAAACAACTCATTCTTGTAGTAATTGATCCGTCGAACGTAATTTAGTTGTAACTAAGATCCTAATCATCTAACTAGGAACTCGTTAAACGTTTAACTACAAGAAGATAACGAAAACAAGACCCACCAGTTCTGTTTACTTGAAGCTACCACAGGTCTTATCCCTCTCAACACATACCAGCAAGTACTTATCGTCTATAACCAGCGCCCTACCGGTACAGACACCGGTTTAATTGTGCGTTAAAGTGGTGTTTATTCCGCGCGGGGCTGGCCGGTCGGTCGGCGGCCACAGACCGTGCTCAGGTAAGCGTGTCGGCCGGCGCGGCGGAGCGGTGGCTCGGCGGTCACGTGGGATAGCCCGGGGGCTCGCGGACCGGTGCGGCTAGCCGTGCCCTGCCGGACGTTAGCCCGCCGTGGGAGGAGGCGGAGCTGGGAGGAACTGGGACGAAGGCCTTTTATGGGACGGGAAGACAGGTGCCTGTTAGGGGCGCATGGAACGGTGATGGCTGAGTTTTGGTGGAGCGGATGACAGGGTTACGTGGGTCAGCTTGGTTTTAGAAATGTATGGTGATGAGCTTGTTAAGCCAATCCCTGCTATAAGGCAGGATCAGCGAAGTAAAAACATGTCAGAAGACGGGTTTCCGAAGGTTTTATGGGAAGTGCTTCTTGACTTCGCTCCTAGCACTCGGGTCACTGGCCTACGCCAGAACGATTCGACGACTGCAATGCTGTACTGAACGGCAATGTTTTCTTTCCAAATTATTTCACCCACAAACCACATACGTCACACAACAGTCGCAATATCATCTAAGACGCACATTCTCCCCTCCATATCCCACACTTTGTCTGGCGGTACTCACGGGTTCCTTGGCTCTGGCCGGCGGCAGCGGTGGCTCATCATGCAGCTCGGGATCGTACATGTCTCTGACACCTCGTGAGCTTGGAGCGCGTCGCAGCGGCGCCCCACCGTCCGAATCCCCGTACCCCATGCCATCGGCGCGGTACAGGCCCTGCGCGTGTACCGGTACGGGCGCGGCCAGCCGCCTGCTGCGGTTACTATGGACAGACGTGCTGTGGGTCGTGTGGCCGGACTGAGAGCTGCGGTCCGACTGGGTGCTGTCACTTGGAGAGTCGTACTGGGTGACTGAGGATTCCTCTGGGGGAATGTCCACGGGCACCTCTTCGCGGCGGCGAGGCATGGCCGCCTTAGAGAGGGTTAGCGGCCGCGGGGACAGTCAATAGGTCACCGGCCGCGGGGGGACGACAGTCCAAGTCCGCACCGTTCGGCAGTCGACACTGATCAGTCACTGTCGGATGCTGCTTTCCCTGACACAGTCTCAGTCACACAGGCGCAGCAGATTCTATCCGCAGTCACTAGCGCAGTATTTGAACTCAGTCACTAGAGCAGCTATTTGACCTCAGTCGCAGGCGCAGTCCCTGGCCTGATCACAGGCGCAGTCACAGTTCAACGGCCGCCGCGAGGGCGTTTCAGCTCCACACCCGAGTCTCGCCGACTGCACGACTGATGTGTAGCCGCTCCTGTGTGACGCGGTTGGCCTCACGGTCACGGCCGTGACACTGATGTGACTGACGTGACGTGACTCCGACGTGACGAGACGGTATGTTGATAGCTGTGACGCTACTCTTGAATTTCCTTCACTTGAGGCCAAGTTATCACCGACTCCGTATTTTTGTAGGACGGCCAATAATTCTGACGATGCTCCCGTTTGCTGGAACCAGCGACGAGATTCGATGACGTTCACTTTAAGTAATGAGAGAGTGATTGAATTATGCTGCTAAGAATTAATTATTGTTATTTTTTAAGGTAATTCGTTGTGCTACGTAGCGCTTTCTTTAAATGCCATAAACATTTAAGTATGTTATACTGCATAAATTACGTTTGTTCTAGGCAGGGTTGTGCTTGACTCATGAGTCGAGTCAAAAATTTGACTCAACTCTGACTCAAATGAGTCAGATTTGAGTCGAGTCGGATAAATTTTTGAGCTGTTGAGTTGAGTCAGAGTTGAGTCGGACAAAAATATTAAGGCGTTGAGTTGAGTCAGAGTTGAGTCAGTAAAATAACTTTTGACATTGAGTTGAGTCAAACATTTAGGAACATGAGTCAGCTGACTCAACTTTCCAGAAACAAGCTTTTCATTCCCCACCCCCGCTTCCCTGACCCTGTTGCCGGACTTTTTCACCCCCCTCCCCCCGCTCAAGAGCTTTTTTTATCTGAGTCAATTTTGAGTCAACTCACTTGACTCAACAAAAAATTTGAGTGAAGTTTGAGTCGACTCATATTTTCATTGAGCCGCTTGAGTCATGAGTCGAGTCAAGGGAAAAAATCAGCTCCTTGTTTGAGTCAGAGTTGAGTCAGGGCTTTCTGAGGTTGAATGATGAGTCGAGTCGGAATTTTTTTTTTTGAGTCGAGCACAACCCTGGTTCTAGGAACCGAATCAATAAAGTAAGATGCAGATTATTTAGAAACACAAAAGCAGTTAAATAAATAGAAATTATTTATCAGCACGCACCTTCAGCACCGCAACATGCGTCACTCAACCAGTCCTCTATCACACCGTACCACTCCCGTCTCACCACCCACTCTCGACTTCCTGCCGGGCCCGCGGCTGGGCCACCACTGCCGCCCGGCACAGCACAGCGTCAGCGTCAGCGGCGGTACGGCAGCGGTCGTCGTTCCACCACAGTGCGTCGGCCGGCGGAGTCCGACCTCCCCCGGTCAGCCGTCTCGGTCAGCGGCGCGGAGCTGAGCGGAACGGAGCCGTGGGTTGGCGCAGGAGACGAGCGAGCTGGGAGAGCTACGGGGGAGGGCTGGGAGAGCTACGGAGGAGAGGGATATGCAGGCGTGCTTGGACAGCTACCGGGGAGAGGGCTGTGTGTTTCATTAGGCTGAGAAGGCCATGGGAGATAGGGCTGACCAAGCTACTGGCGAGAGGACTCCATGCATGGGCACTGAGCAGGCTGGAAGAGCCATGCATGGTCTAGCTAAGGAGATCCGTAGATGAGAGGGATGGGAGATACATAGCCGATAGGCCTGATAGAGCCACGGGCGAATGAGCTGAGAGGTCCGAATCTGAGAGAACTAAGAGTTAGAGATTCACAGACGAGTGAGCATGGTATACTCACAATGAGTGAGCGCTGTGTGCCTTGTAACTATCTACACTAATGAGCCGAGCTAGCCGTATTTACGATCGGACTGAGATCTAATCTAATGAGCTCGAGAATCCATTGGATGTGATTATTATCCTCATGTTTTTGTTTAGCTCAGGTTATGTGCTTTTATCTTTCTTGCGTAATTCGTATTTGTCATGCGTATTTGTCATGGCCGATATTTACATTGTATTTCGTTGATAAAATACGTTCAATCTTTTAAGAGTCTATGCGATATTACACCAGAGTCTAGGGCCAGAGAATAGAGAATAAATGTCCCTTTATGTCAATTCAGCAGTGGTTGTCAGTGACCCCGAAAAGGCAGATAACAGGGGGTTGGCGTGAATTCATTTAATTTTCAAATCTCCAAACGCGCTGCTCAAATAAAGGGGTATAGGTACGAGTATGTTGACTTTGTGGGACATTCTGGCAGAAGCAAAGATGGAACAGTGTGCGGATGTGTCGGCTCCTCTCAGTTCCGCCGGCTCATTTTATGAGGTTTTGTTGAAACTTTTTACGTGACGCGGTGATTCAACTCCCTAATTTTCATACCACATGATACGGCATTGACCTTCCTAAGGTCAGAAAGGACACGTCGCATAACGTTGTTAGAATATTTACATGCGCCGCTTGCCATTGTAGACGATTTTGTTTGCATAGACGATATCGTCCCAAGCCTGGATCTACACCGTGTTTGTTTTCTAATATCAAAGTCACAACTCACGCCCAGCTACCACATAATTGGTCAGTTGTCACCATCGGGCAGTGACCACCGTATCCCCCCCCCCCCCCTCCTCCTTTACCGTTACATCCGGTCAGTCCTGTGTGTCTCTCACGACACTCGTACGGTCGCCGGGGCAGCGGAGCGAGCCGTGACAGCGGGGAGGGGATAATGAACGACCCGGCCGGCGCATAGCTGACACTCCCGTATAGTCTGACGGACAGAGGAGGTGCCGTGACGGTGACCGATGTACCGGTTCTGAGGCAGTGTGGCCAAATTGGTGATGTTGCGGGGAAAGTCACCCCCAATGAAAAGTATAATGACATCCTCAGAAATTTTAAAATTACATCATCACGACGTTTTTGTCGCGAAAGCATGCATGCCTATGTAGTGTAGGAATAAAGACTAAAAATGTTCCAATGTACGATTCGCACCGTCGTACTCGTGCTGTCGCGCTTGCAATGTTTTTTTTTTTACATCTTTAATGACAATATTCGGAGTTTTTTGTACTTTCCACCAGAACTTGACGTCAGGTTAGTTTTCCACATTATCTGTAAAAACTGCACCTAAATTGAGGCTGAAGACGATTTTTTTTAATAGTGACATCCTCGTACGACTTTTTAATACATCCTCCCCCTAACGTTAAACCAATTTGGCCACACTGTTCTGAGGGGGGGGGGGAGGCGGAATTATAACTCATGGTTCGGGAAGGGGGATTGTTCTGGTTGTTGCTCTGGTATTCCAAATTGGGCTTAGGCTGAGGGTTAATCAGACATGCGCATGGATCCGAGTGATGGATCTATGATCTCAGTGGATCTCGAAGCAAAGTACAGGTTGGGATCTATGATCCCACCGGATCCGGCGTGAAAAATACATCTTGGATCACACAACAGTAGTACTACTGTTATCTGTGCTTGGATCTATGATTTCATATGATGTGACGATAAATTAAAAACATGGATCTATGATCTGAGTGGATCCCACCATGCACCACATTTGAAACCATGTTTTAAAGGGTTTCTATGCCAATGAGTGACACGAAACTATGGATTATGACGTGCGATCACATAAAATCACTAAAACAGAACGTTTGTGAGTTGAAACAAGTGCTTTTTTGGGATATATGTGTTAACAAAAAATAAGTGAGGATTTATGATCTCACTGGATCTCAAGCAAAAAATGAGACTCGGATCTGTGATCCCTATGGATCTCTCGATAAATTACAGAGCTGGATCTATGATCCCGACGGATCCGAGATCAGGATCCGTGGGATCAGATCCCAGACCCATTTTCTCGGATCCATGCACATGTCTGGGGTTAATCATGAACAATAGAAGGCATGCACATTATAAATATATTTGTCGGGTCTTTCTCTCATATATATTTATGTATACCTACCTATGCGCACATCATTGACCAACCCTATTTTCACACTAGGCATTCTTATATTGATATGGAGCTTTACATCACAGGAAGTTCATGAATCAGTGGCAGGACTCATACCTGAGAAACGTTATCGAAAGCGAAAAAGACAGCATGTAGAGTCAACTTGTGATTCGCAAACATTCCAGGTGGCATACCTGAATTTCACTGTGCGTCATACCAACGGAATGATTCGAGCATTCCAGCCATGATTTCACTACACGGATTTGCAAACCTATGAGCGCACTCAGCCATGCTAAACAATGACCACTGTAGAATTCCTTGCACACCTTCTAGTGTGCATTAAAGATGATAGATAATATTAACTATACCTAGTCGTCACATGGATGCAACCATCGTCCATCTTTCCCTCATCTTCGTCTCTCCCTTGGCTATCAACATTTCTTTGTTTATGTATTTCCCTGCTGACCATTGCTCGCTAGTGCATGCAGCAGTACCAAGGTGACAGGGTCCGCGGCGGCAGTCTCGGTCAGCCATCAGGTGTCGGAGTCCGAGACTGCAGCCATCTGTCGCCATAGAGGCCGCGGCTCGGCCGGTCGGTCGGCGGTCAGACCCGGCACCGCAGAGATGCTGGGTTCGATGAACGCTGCCCCGCCATCGGCACACCGTCACCGCCTCTGATAGTGCTGCCGCAACCGCCACTGCCTAAATATCTGCTGCTGCTGCTGCTGCTGCTGCTGTCACTGCTATGTATAAGTTTCGGCTTTGATGTAAGTAAGTATGGACCGAGCTAGAGTCGAACGAACACCAAACTTTAGGTAGCGTGACAGCCAAGCAGCTGTATTCGTGACGTGATTAATGGCATCCACTACACAGCGGGAGTGGGAACGCAGTGAGAGAACCAACGAGGGCTTCTGCTTCAATGGATCTCAAACTCGGAAGCACATATTTATCGCTTTATTGTGTGGAACCTTTTATTAGCTATAGATTAGCTTTGCTTGCGTGTGGTGACACAGCAGATTTGTTGTGTTTCTTTTTATCCAGTTTCTTTCGTACATTCCTGAGGTTTCTGCACGACTGCGTTCTGTGTGCTCAAGAGTCCTCGACCGAATAGCTGGCTCACGCAGTTACAAATATACCGGCATCTCAACACGTATAGGAAGCCTATAGGTACTTTCATGTCTATTTGTAACGGAATCGCCAAAAATGAGTGAACACGATTGCTTAGAATTGTTGTCACGTTCGTAAGGAATAAGAAAGCACTCACTGCAAACACCGCGCCGTTACAAAAACATCTTTGTCATTGGACAATGAATGTTCGAACCATCTCAGAAATCACACATTTAAAAGGCGCTCATCTGTCATTTTGATGCGGCTGTTGGGCTCGATGATAAGCAGTCCCGGTTCCCCAGATATGTTTGTTGGAGCTTCTCAGCTGACCAGCGGAACGTATGTCTACCATCGGCAGTCAGCGGAGCAAAACACAAACTGTTCCCACTCTGGGCCGCTCGGGAACTCGCCTCTACATAAGACGGTGGGACCCAGGGCACTTCGACCGTGTCAATCGGCTTCATAAAACGGTGCGGCCGGCGCCACTTCAACCGTGTCAGTCTCTTCCATAGCCACGTGTTCCTATCTGACGTCATTTTGGGCTGGTGAGTTGCTTCTTTCATCGTCATTTTGCGAACCTCCAGTGTTCTTCCTAAGTGGCCGTCTATTGCAGGCTGCTGCCTTTTTATTCTGCTGATTTCATAGCCATCTCTGCCGGCCGCGACAATGACGAAAGCACACCAGCGTAGTCCCGTGTGAATGTGGCACCCCGTGTTGCAGAGTCGCTCCTCTCCAGGGAGTGTCCCAGTTCCCAGCCATGCTCTCCGTCTCTCAGCCCTCGTCTCTGAGTACCGCTATACCAGTCCAGGGCGGGGCCGGGCCGCTCTGCCGAGAGAGCCACCCGTACCGCTGCCGTGGCGCCGCGAAATAGACCGCCACCTTCCCATATTCATCAGCGGCTAAAGAGATGAGACGACTGCTGAGGTTATTGGGAACGGGGGACCGTTTGAATAGGTAATACATGGGGGAACGGGACCACATCATTGATTTAGTTTGTGCATGCAATGTATATGATGTAAGACAAATATATTTAATGCAATTTTAGGATGCAGTTTTAGGGTCACTGAACTCTTCAGCAAATTCATAATTTTTATGTCAACATACCTTTTTATGCATGCGGCATTTACGGCGCCGACTGCTTATAATAGACGTAACAAATAAGCGCGGTGCCTGCTGAACAGCCAATCCATCTTCTGTTCTCTCTATAGAAGTGTAGGGTAACTGTGGGGAAAACGCACCCCTGGGTTAAACGCCTCCCCTAAAAAAATCGTATTTCTTATCGACGGATAGGTGTTTTATCCTGTCTTTCAGAACAGTCAGCTGCTTGTTTACGTAGGTCCCTATTTCCGGTTCTGCGTCTTGAGGAGCAGCGTGGGTAGGTGCTGATGTTGGTTTTGGGTGTTATTTTTGTTGTTTTTACAGAAGATTCCTAAGATTTTGATGCCCTCTTTATATCACAAAACTTGCTATTGTGCACATCACTAAAAACTGCGTTTTATTGCCATTCTGGTGAATTTATTATGCTGCGGCGTTAGTGGCGCGTTTTTTGTCAATATTTTGTTGACCGGAAATGGAGTGGATGGGGAAAGACGCCTACTCGATGCATGGGGCAAGACGCCCCCAGTTTTCTGAAAGGGGGGCGTTTTGCACGGTGGTGAGAGTGCAGGGTAGCGCCCTGTAGGTGGGTGCCGAAAAGGCCTCTCCCTGTCCTTTTTTGCTGATATATCCTAAACGACTGCAGATATTGTCACCAATTTTTCAGGGCTCCTCCGGGCATCCATTTTACACATTGCAACACAATTTTATTCCAAAGGCTATGATAGGTTGACCACAAATGACGTCAGAATGACGTCAAGTTCTGCCATGTTTATCATTTTCTGTTGATGGATGGGGTGGGGGCGCTTTGCACATGGGTGTGGGCGTATTACCCAGGGTATGGGGCAAAACGCCCTTTTGTAAGGGTATGCGAAAACCTTTTTGGGGGGTTAACTACCACACGCAGGTGTCTTTTTTTGGTCTCAAAGCGTAGTAAAAAGAATGAGCTACATGATGGTGCCCAAAGGTTTGAGTAATCTGTGTTGGGTTGAGTGTCAGAAGGTTTCGCGCTTACTGGGGGCGTTTTTGACCTATTCACCCTACCGTCAGCATCTCTCGCCGCCGGGCCGGTCACGTGGTCTGGTCTGTTACCGCCGGGGCCGGTCACGTGGTCTGGTCTGTTACCGCTGGAGTCAGTCACGTGATCTGATCTGTTAACGCCCACGCCAAGCGCGATCCGTTAGATGATCCGTTTTGGCCGCGTGCCAAACCAGATAGATTGGGCCGGGCCACAGGGGGAGGGGGCGGACAAGAGGGGAGGGAGGACTGGAGGAACGTGCTTATAAAATCCGCCGATCCTCGAGGTGGTGAGGTATCAAGATTCGTCCGATTAAGATGCCGAGAGTGCATGTTTGTGCTGCTGAGGGGAGATGTTGACGGGATTATTATCCGCGCCACGTGGGGCTGATCAACACCACCGCCCAGACAAAGGTTTGGAGGTGAAGTGTGTTTATGGTTTGGCATTCCAAAGAGATTGAGGATTTTCTTGGATGAAAACATACCGATGACAAGGGTTTGCAAGCTGCATCAGAAAACTAGTGGGTATCAGGTATCTTTACGCTGTAAGAATAAAGTGCAAACTATAAATGCAATGGCAGTAACCAGAAGAGCCGGTGCATGTCGTGTGACATCCTTGAGGCAATTAGTGGCATTATAAATTGCATTTACCAGCGCAAAGCACACGAGTGACGAGTGAACTACGAGTGACGAATGACTCGTATTCACTAATCCGTTTTCACTGCCATAAAACCACTCAATAAAATACACAGCTGACCACCCATCGGATACCATAAGCAGCCATCATCTAGCCTCTCGTACCTCCCATCCCATCACCTCCTCTGCCGCCACCCGAGCTCGCTCCTCAGCGTAGCTGCCTGACCTCCAGTGACCTGTGAACTTGGCTCGGCAGCCATTGACCCCGGCCGTGCAGCCGACGAACGCCACGCCAGTCGCCGTCATGCATGACTGGGTCCGACCGGCCTGACCGCTGCTTCCCCGGCGGCGGAGTCGGCATCGACTCCAGACGAACAGCGCTTAGATGACTGCCATCAACAGGCAGCTGGAAAACCACAGCTATCCACACAACGGGATTATGATGCTCCTCAGGAAAGGCTTTATTTATTTTGCTTTATTTTCCCATAAAAGTGTCTATGAGATTCGTTCAATGGTTGGTTGTTTTAGTCTGCATAAGTAACCACCCCGGTCAACTGCGTCCGCGCGGTGGCAATGACCTTTCTGCTCGGAGCTGTGCCATGCAGATAGCTGGCAGCGGCGTTTGCATATGCCATGGTAACATCGTGCCGGGTCAATGCCATACGGTCGATGGCCACTTGACATGCGGTTACTGTTCCTCTGGGAGCGCCACAGCGCAGAACATTCGAAGTCTGTGTATGTTAGGCGCATCACTCTTACGACCTAATCTTTTGAAATGCTTTTACAGGGCATCATTGCTTCAAACTAGCCATATTGATCCCATTTTCCCGACAACTTGAACTGGCGAAAAAAGCATTATGACATAGCCCGTGTGCTTAAATGGTCGGGCAGTACGAAGATTACCGGAGAGACCGGAATCGCGGAGGTAGGGTGAATAGGTCAAAAACGCCCCCATTAAGCGCGAAACCTTCTGACACTCAACCCAACACAGATTACTCAAACCTTTGGGCACCATCATGTAGCTCATTCCTTTTACTACGCTTTGAGACCAAGAAAAGACACCTGCGTGTGGTATTTAACCCCCCAAAAAGGTTTTCGCATACCTTTACAAAAGGGCGTTTTGCCCCACACTCTGGGTAATACGCCCACACCCATGTGCAAAGCGCCCCCACCCCATCCAGCAACAGAACATGATGAACATGGCAGAACTTGACGTCATTCTGACGTCATTTGTGGTCAACCTATCATAGCTTTTGGAATAAAATTTTGTTGCAATGTGTAAAATGGATGCCCGGAGGAGTCCTGAAAGTTTGGTGACGATATCTGCAGTCGTTTAGGATATATCAGCAAAAAAGGACAGAGAGAGGCCTTTTTGGCCCCCACCTACATGGCGCTACCCTGCACTCTCACCACCGTGCAAAACTCCCCCCTTTCAGAAAACTGGGGCGTCTTGCCCCATGCATCGAGTAGGCGTCTTTCCCCATGCACTCCATTTCCGGTCAACAAAATATTGACAAAAAACGCGCCACTAACGCCGCAGCATAATAAATTCAACAGAATGACAATAAAACGCAGTTTTTAGTGATGTGCACAATAGCAAGTTTTGTGATATAAAGAGGGCATCAAAATATCAGGAATCTTCCGTAAAAACAACAAAAACAGCACCCAAAACCAACATCAGCACCTACCCACTCTGCTCCTCAAGACGCAGAACCGGAAATAGAGACCTACGTAAACAAGCAGCTGACTGTTCTGAAAGACAGGATAAAACACCTATCCGTCGATAAGAAATACGATTTTTTAGGGGAGGCGTTTAACCCAGGGGTGCGTTTTCCCCACAGTTACCTACCCTACCTACATTAACATCTTTTTACCGTAATGGTGTCATTCTGCTGAAGTGAACGGTTCCGCATTATTGGGATGATGCGCATACCAGGTGCAAACTTGGCCATGCTTTTAGATGTTGAAGTGGGGTATTCGAGATTGATGCAGCTTTTAGGCTGAAAGTTAACTGCGCCCAGCTTGCCGCTTGCAAATCGAAATTGCTGTAACCTGCTTGCCGGAACATTTATCGCTTTGGTGTAGGGAAGAGCACCGACCGGTATCGATTTAGGACAAGGTCACGAGGTCAAGGGGTTTTTAAAAGCTCCCCGACGGGGAATCGAACCCCGGTCTCCCGCGTGACAGGCGGGGATACTCACCACTATACTATCGAGGAGTGATGTTGTACTGAAACTAGTATTTTAGAATGCTAACAGCGTCAGGCCATTGTCCTGACTTCATCTGATAACATTGTGCCGGCCCCTCCCTCCCCATCGTCACGCCACAGCGTGCTCAGTGTACCTTTATGAATCATTTCCACACAGTACGGCAGGCCCAGGCGCTCGGCAACAGCCCCGCCTGTGCTACGTCGGTGGTTACACGTTCACTGGGTATTCGATGATTTGTGCTCAGATTACAGGTAAAAAAATGCACAATTAGGGACCTAATTTCGCCATTGAAGCATCGAACGCTAAGAAATGAAAGCAATTTCAATTTAGAAACATACATCTGCATTGAAATTTAGAGCGTTAGCCTTATGCCATGCCTTGCAGTCTTCGGTGCTACTTCAACAGCTTGCGTTGCAGTCCTTAGTGTTGTGTTCTTATAACGCATCGCAGTCTATTGCTAGCATTGCGGTCTCCAATCCTTGCCGCCACCTAGCGGTTGACGTTATAACTAGATGTTCTATCAAATGCCGCCAACCGTCGCTGGTCTCCGAGCTGTCTATGAACATCGAACAATGGGCCGTACTAATACGGCATGATCAATGGATGACATACCTAGCTGTGCCACAATCTGTTAAACGGATAAGCATACGTAGGGCGCAGCATTTTCTCAGTCTGAAGACGCAAAACTGCCGTCCAGGGTTGCGGCGAATTTATGCACTCGATTTCAGAGTTAGGACGTAACCTGTGCGACTGTTATTTGTGATTAACCCACGACCAAAAGCGTTTCGAGAGGATGAGACGGAAGCTAATTGCAGCCACATACAAGCCCATCCCGGACAGGTTGTCAAAACTTTCTCTAGATTAAACGTGAAGCGCTCATCATGTATTTCAACTTCGCACATTGAACAAGCTGAGCCTTCACAACATGCAAAGCAGGGCAAAACGCTGATGGCAGTAAGTAATAAATTCAATATTCATACATAACAAGCCAGAGTCTCTGTACCTGCATGCTGATTTTACACAGGTCAACCAACTACCAAGGCTCCTAGAACAGTCTGATGCACCGTCCTCCAATGAAGAAGTATCCTGGCGGACAGCTGAACGGCGTGTTGATGCGGCAGCAGCGGCCGTCTCCGCAGCGCTCGAATCCCCTCGAACAGCCAGATCCCACCACCACTGAAGTCTCCGTGTTCACTGGGAGGGACTGATCATACTGCTGCGGCGCCGCCTCACCGCAGAGAGGCAGCAGCATCACCAGCAGCAGCAGACACTGCGGGTGGGCACGGGATTCAGTGACTTTGGAAACGGCCGGAAACCAGCAGATTGGAAATTGGACACTTTCGAGACTTTTGATAAGATATGCATTCTGAAAATATGCTCTGAAAGTTAGCACTGGACATCACCGCATTTCAAGTCGTACATTCTAAACCGAATATACCTACTCACCACCGAAGTTGCTACGGTCAATGTGAAACAGGATTTCAACGCCATAATTGGTTTTCTTCCTCTCTTCTCTTCTCTCTTCACTTCTCTCGCAGAGTCGCACTGACCAGCTGAATCCTGTCCGTCAGCAGCCTCGTGCTACCTCCTGGCACCTCGCACCACTATGGCACTCCGTCTGTGTGACACTCCGTCTGCTCGTGTCCCGACTTAGTGCACGTCTCGACTCGGCGTCCCAACATGAGTCACTGGACTAGCCCTCTGTCGGACTCGCGGAGAGAGAAAGACAGGAAGGAAGTGTGATGTCAGCTTCCTGAGCCGATATGACCTCGGTCTGCTATGGTCTGCTCCGGGCGGCACGGAGACGAGAAAAGCCGGTACAATGGGCAGCGGCGTAACTGAATGGCTAGGAGATTTATATCGCAGAATTACGACAATACATATTTATGAATATTATTGGATGGGTCATTTGAATGACTGCTCATGGCGGGTTGTCTGTTACTTGACTCTACAGCTGTGAATGTTGCGTGAATAAATTATTTTGTTTATTTTTCCTTTCTTTATTTACCTTCTCTGCATGAGATAGGTATATCCGGAACTACGCAAGAAGTCAATGGGGTTAAAGCACATGTAGCTCAAATTCAACCACCATGATTTGTCACTCAATCCATCACAGCCCTACTCATCCTCTGGCATTGTAGTTGTATCGTTAGGTAACCGCGTCCTTTGATCGATTCAATTATCTAGTTCACTGTCCCAATCTCCGCCGCAAGGTTCAACGAATCATATGAAGCCACATCTTCACACCAACGACCCTCCCAACAATGTCTGAGTCAACAGAAGACCTCTCTCGCCGGCATCCGTCGCCCGAGGGCACACCCACGTTTCAGTCAAGGTCAAAAGGTGACGGACGGTCGCCGCAGCCGACTCCACACCTCTGAGCTGCCTGTGGCACCCATCCGGTCCTCGTCTGGCTTCTCACCCCTGCTGGCGTCACTGACGAACAGGAATGCTCCGATAATGGTGGATAATCGACACATCCACCCGGGACGCGCTCCCACTGCCTTGTTTGCCGTGTTCTGACATCCGATGGTAAATAGCGCTTCCAAGTGTGGTTATTACACCGAGCTGCGTCTCTGCCCTCAGGCGAGGGGAGGGGGACGGGGAGGGGTGTGTGTGCTGTTCGGGAGGCAGGCAGAGTAGCTTGTAGTCAGCCTCAAGGACAAGGTCACATCGGCGTCTCTCAAGAGCCGCTGGCGAATACAAAGATGCACCGAGACGCTGTGAAGATGGAGTGCATCCTTTGGAATGCGTCCTTTGGTATGCAATGATGCAATGCTCGCATTACCGAAGCAACGCATAGTGTACCTACGGTGGAGTAGGTACACTGCAATCCTGCACTTGAAAGTGCAGATAGCTCGAGCTAACTAGTAAACCGAGTAGTAACTAGCATCGCTTGGGCAATGCAACCAAAGGACAAACTTATCACAGGGCTACGTGTATAGAAGCTGCTCTAATTACTCTCCCAAACATTCATGATTATTGACTTCTGCACCTCCAATTCCTATCCGATTCCCCTGACAAAGACTCCACAGACGAACAAAACCTCGGCGCCAAAACCGCAGTGGCGCGCGGCTCGGGGCAGCTCGCGAGCTGGAGGGTCAGCCCGGGGTTAACAAACGACCGACGCCAACCGAGCCACCGTACGCGGGAGCGCCGCTCACGCCGAGGTCAAAGGTCAACCGCAGAGGTCACATTGACGCTCCTGCGTCACCAAGCAGCTAATTTACGCAGACCAATTAGAATACCACACCCAAAATGGTGTTTTCAGACGCCACCGCGCATGTTTTAACCCGGAAGGACGGCCCTTGGGTCAGAGACCTCGCAATGGCTCGTCATGAGGGTGGGTCTTGTTAAATGCACCACGGGTTACGCGCTGCAAGAATTGCAGACGCAGGTCACGTGGCTTAAATACCAGCTGAGTTCCCGAGAGCCAGAGATACGCTTCTAGATTTTGGCGGCTGTGTCCCTTTCGTTGCAAATGTAACTAGGTAGAGTTACCTTAGACAAGTGTTCCATCCAAGAAATTTCTGAAGTTTAAGGCACCTCGACATGCGTACCTACTTAATTGATGTAGCCAGGGATGCGGAGCCGTGGAAATTTCAGACAGCTTCGGCTCCGGCTCCGGCTTCGGAGAAATAAAATCGGCTCCGGCTCCGGCTCTGGCTCCGGGTGAAATGTCATGGCGGCTCCGTATCAGGCTCCGGCTCCGGGCAAAAATGTGCCGGCTCCGGCTCCGGCTCCGCACCCCTGGATGTAACATTGGTGATTTACACGGTTTAACGAGCATCTACGTGACGCCAAAAACCACACAAGAAACACCCCTTTTGGAGCACACTTCATGACTTGTCACTGTAGCGTGGAACCTAGCCACGATGCCCTCTCCATTTCAATTCTTCAAATCTGCAAAGACGTAGCGGAGCTGAAGATCGCCGAGTCCATCGAAATTCGCAATCATCGCCCCACACTTAACACTATGTCATCATCTTGGACGCTCATCAAGCCAGTACCATACTCAGAGCTATAGACGTCATTAGATCACGACAGGCAGGACTTACATTTAGACTAGATCACATCATTTGACACCATCACTCACATACCGTTTTCACAGTATTTCACCCTTCTGTTATTCATTCTTTCTTTTATCCATTCATTCATCCTTCAATCATCACAATCATCGTTTACATATGCACTGCACACACAAACACACACACACACACACACACAAACAAACACAGCTGCTCACAAACACAAACACACATGCACACACACAGTCACTCACTCATACATACGAACTAGCACAAGCCACAGGGACCGCTGTCTAATGTCTGTTGAGACTGATGTCGAATGTACTACTTAGCAATGTTATACGATCAATGTTATGGTGTGGTAGTATGTTGAATAGGTATCATACTCATATGTACTGTGAACAAGACGCTGATTTGTGGAAGCTTGCGACGTAATATGTGTAAATGTTGGCAATATGTATAATAAGGTTTAGACCAAGCGTATCCCTATCATATCGAACTGTATTAATTTATGTTTCATGCAACCATTCATTTTCCTGCCAAGTAAATCTAGATCGACACCTATTTTGGAAGCGCATGTAAAATATCTGTGAGTGATTTTATTCAAAATAATGTATTTAGTCTCATGTGTGTCACATATGTCTCTCTTGTTCCATTGTAACACTGTACCACTGAGGAAGGGCCACGCCCGAATATATATTGGTCTTTAATTTTTTAATTCCTTCAGATATGAGCAAGAGGTTATTTTTCATACTCCTGATAATCTTATCAACAATGCTCAACTCAACGTTTCAATTACCTGAAATCATTGGTGATTTATGTGAATAACTGGTGAATAGCTGCGTAACATCTTTATAGCTCTTTAGTGTCTACTGCTACTGTGAATAAAACAAAAGGTGAATCAATGGCAAAAAGTTATCACAGATCAACAAACCCGAATCACGTTGATACTTTAGGTTTAGTTCGATAACTTTCGACAACAATGATGCTCATGAAGACAAAATGTTGATGAATTATCATAAACCATTCGCTGACGCACGAAACAATTATGTCGAGGTAGGTAGAGTTGTTATGTCACCTCAGTGAATTATTGTCTTCCCTGAATTGCCGCCCAGAACTACTAACCATCCAACTTGTTATCTAAGCTTGGCTCGACGCCAAGTGCTGACTATGATGACTAGACAGTAAGAGGGTCAAGCGGAACCACTGCACCTTGTTTGCTAGTAATCGCGCAGGAGGTAGGTAGATGTTTGCTGAACTAAGTTGAACTTTGTGACCAACCGAGTGACTCGAAAAGAATGGCAAAATATTAGGCACGGAACTGAACAAACTGCCACTGAATTTTATATTCAATTTTTTCCAAGCTTTCGATCCAATATTTCTGCTATAGTTTAATATACTTTGTAGGCACCAGTTTTAAGACCCGAATCAAACGATAAGTTAGTCTACAAAAACCTGGTTAAATGAGTTAAATCGCCCGAGTTCTATTGGAATTACTCGCATACCTTCGTTCCCATCTGCTCGATTGTATCGTACCTACTTTGTATCCCACTTTTATCGACAACAAAAACCGATTTTTTTATAAAATGACCTATGCATATTGTTTGTATGTACAAGCATCCGTCAATCGACATAAAATCCACAACGGCACATGACGGTTCAATAGCCATATTTTTACCTGCACCGACCGATCCTGCATTCCTCCTGTCTGTGTGTGACCCCTACACTCCTTTACCCCACCCCAACGCGCTGGATCCGCTAACGGTATTCACTCGTTCCTATTCAGTTTGCGTGCTGCGAGCTTTGTTGGTCTGCAGTCTAATCGTCCACACAAGTCCATGATCCCTCCCTGCACCGTCCGCGCACCCTCCATCCATCCTATCCCGTCCCGTCCCGGCTCATCCAATCCAATCCCGTCACGTCCCGACCGACCGACCCACTTTATCCTCGCCCCTCAGCCAGGCTGCAGTGACGTCATCACGGCGCAGCGAGCCAGTCAAGTTCAGGGCGAGCCGGTTCTAAGGTGGGTCACTGGACTGGAAGTCGGGTCAGTGATCGCGCATGTCTGCAGCGACGCGGCGGGGCTGGGAGGGGACCGGGAAGCTAAAAGAAGAGATGATGAGAATATTCAAAGAATAATTGAAAGGAATGCTTGTGACACAGTAGGAACCATGAGAAAACAGAGCATGAGTTAGTTAGTTTTTTTTTACGTCACTCCAGATCCACACAATGCATAACATGTTTTATTCCATACTTTTTCGTCCATCTTATTAGGTTCTCCACGTGTCAACTGGGCCAACTGTCGTGACACCAACCTAAAGCTGGCGTCACGACCGTCACGCGCGTCACCGTCACGTTCATGGCACGCGCACGTGACGCACGGTTGTTGTGTGTGACACACACCGGTAAGATCTAAGCCGTGAGGCAGTGGAGCCTTCAAAATGCATGTATGGTATGCAGTGACGCTATGAGCCCAGAACAAGGCAATAAAGCTACATATTTTGTACTGTTGCATGTCAAGCACACCAAATTATCACTACATGCATCGGTGTCAGGCATAGCAAGGAAGTCCTACATATGTGCGAGCTATTGTGTGGTATGATTTGCTGACGCATTTTATTTCATCTTTTTCTTATATGACCCGGTTGTTTTGCCGCGATCCTTCCTGTCTTT